GGGAGTGTGTGCAACTCCCATGGCCAAAGGACAGTTGGATGTGGGTGATCATCCACTCGTGTTCTTGTCATTCAGACCTACCAGCTCTCTTCTCCAATTCCCGGCATTCCCATAGCTCAGGCCCAAAACTATAGTTTTTCCTACCTGGAAGACCAACTTTCAAATACAAACCAATTCTGATAATCAGAAGCACCTGGCTTGCTCCATGTCTGTCCCAAACACCTTAGTGTGTTTTTAGCACAGAGCCCAGCTCAGGTCCAGTGGTCCCTCTCAAGGTTCCCTTGAATGAAAGGCAATACTTAAAAAGTTCCTGATGGCCCCTGCTCTTCCCTCTCTCCCTTCTCTTCCCACTCCCCCCTGCATATATTATAACATTTGTATGTTTGTAGTACTGTGGTTGGGACCTAAGGCCTCATACATTGCTAGGCCTACACTCTGTTGAGCACCACCCTGCCCCTAATATGCAGTTTCTTTTTTTGTTTTGTTTTGTTTTTTTTCTGAGACAGGTTTTCTCTGTGTAACAGCCGTGGCTGTCCTGGAACTCACTTTGTAGACCAGACTGTCCTCTGCCTCCCGAGTGCTCCACCACCACCACGGCCTGGCTAATATGCAGTTCTTTCTATTCTCACAGCACCGTGTATCATCTGATACGCTGTATGCGACTTATTAGTGGCTCTCTGCTCTCACTAGACCACATAGCCCGCAAAGGCAGGGATTTTTGCCTAGTTTGTTATTGTTGTTATTGTTTTTATTGCTTTGTCTCAAGGCCTAGAACAGCTTGTGGCATGTGAGAGAATGCAACCAGTCATGCATATGGTTCTCACCATTTTGCTAACATTTGCAAAATAGTCATAGTAATTTCACTGATATTTCATTGTAGTCTCACCGTATCCCTGTGAGACAAGTAGAATATATTCTTTATATAACATTTATATGACCTGTCAATGCTGGGATACGATCCAGATTTCTTCTTCTTCTTCTTTTTTTTTTCTTTGAGACCAGGTTTTATACTGTAGTTTGGGCTGGCCTGGAACTCACTGCAATCCTTTTTGCTCAGTCTCCTAACTACTGGGTTATGAGGATAAGTCATGATACCCAGTGTTTCCCTCATTCTTGGTTCTGGGGGTCTTTTCAGAGACCAGAGGCTGGAAAACCCTGGCACATGGGCGGCCTACTCACTGTTTTTGTAATGAAGTTTTTTGTGTTATTATTGTTTTGTTTTTCTAGACAGGGTTTCTCTGTGTAGCCTTGAGTGTCCTGAAACCCACCCTGTAGACCAGACTGGCCTTGAATTTACAGAAATCTACTCTACCTCCTGAGTGCTGGGATTAAGGTCATGTACCACCACTGACCAGTGTAAATCAAGTTTTACTGGCACACAGCTACATTTATTTGTGACATATGTGTGGCTGCTTTAAGTTACTATAGCAAGTTGGGTAGCTATGATAAATACCACATGGCCCACAGGCTGTTTATGATCTTGTGCTTTACAATAGAGTTCTCTCTCTGCTGGGGCAGCTGGCCTCACCTGTGACCATATACAGAGGTTCCTGGTACCCTTCAGGGTATCCACTACATCAAAGTAAATTCCAGTCTGATACTATTGTGTAATTTTTCACTATGCTGACACTTAGAATAGAGATGAGATGCAGTAGTAGGTGTAGGAGTGTCCCGTAGATACAAAAACAAATGACCACAAATGACCTAGGGGCATAAGCACCAGAAATTCATTCTTTTTTGTTCTTTGTTGAGATCCTTATTTATGTGTGTATGTATTCACTATGTAGCCCTGGCTAGCCTTGCTATGTAGAACAGGCTGGCCTCAAACTCACAGATATCCAGTCCACCAGCATCAGCCTTTGCCTCTGGTACTAAAGGTGCGTACCACTATACCTAGCCAGAAACCCATCCTTATATCTGGAGGCCAGAAGCCAAGGTGTTTATGGGCTGGAGCTCCCTCCTGAGGTACCAGGAGACAATTCTGCCCTTTGTTTCTGCGTGATAGCTCCAAGCAGTATTTCTTTGAGACTTCCCTGCTCCTCGCTTAGTTCCTTTAGATGGTCCCTGTCATCTAGGCTGGCCTGGAACTCAAGGCAATTCTCCTGCCTCAACTTCCCAACTGCTAAGATTACAGGTATGAGCTACATCTACCTGGTCTTAAATCTGTCTTCATGTTTGTGTCCTTGTATCTTCTGTGTCATCTTTTATTCTATCTCCTGACACTTGGCATTGGATTTAGGAGTCTCTCAGCAATCTGGGATGCTCTTGAGAGCCTTTGTTTATATCTGCAATGACTATTTCCAAGATTCTTGTGAAGTAGAAGGAGGAGGAGCAGGAGCTCAAGGTCATCCTCAGCAAGAGAGTGAATTTGAGACCAGACTGGGCTAATGAGACTTTGTCTCCTCAAAGAACTAAACAAAATACAGGCTGGAGAGATGACTCAGTGGTTAAAAGCACTCAACAATCTTCCAGAAGAGTTCCTAGCACCTACATGAGGTGGCTTATAGTTATATAACTCCAATCCCAAAGGATTCAGCACCCTGTTCTGGCCTCTGTAGGTACCCACATATGTGGCACACCTTTCACACAAACACATAACCATTCAAATAAAAATAAATCTTTTAAAACAATACAAAAAAGCCAGATGTTGGTGGCACATGCCTTTAATCCCAGTACTCGGGTGGCAGAGGCAGGTGGATCTCTGTGAGTTTGAGGCCAGCCTGGTCTACAGAGAGAGTTCCAGGACAGCCTCCAAAACAATACAGAAAAAAAACAACAACAACAATACAAAAAGCTAAGATAAAATAAAAGGGAAAAAACAGACCCAGCAACAGCGCTGTTAAGGAGCCTGTGGGAATCACCGTAAAACTGTAAGAAATGAATGTAGGAGAATGCTTCAATCATAACATAGAAGATCTTTATGACCATGGATAAAACAGGCAGGCTATTTATTTGTGCATGCGTGTATTCCTGCTTATGGGAACACTTGTGTGCATGTGTGGGTGGAGTCCAGAGGTCAACACTGGGTGTCTTCCCCATTCAGTTTCTATCTCAGTTGCTCTCCAGCTCTATTTTTGAGATGGAAGTCTTGCTGTGTTGCCTAGGCTGCCCCCAAATCCTAGGCAGAAATTATCCTTTTGCCTCAGTTTCCAGAGCAGTTGGAATCCCTAATTTGTGCCAGAGTACTTGTTAGAAATCAGATTATAAAGCAGCAATTAAATGAAAAATCATTGTAATGAAAGATTGAAAACACTAGGTAAGTAAATATTAGTAGTGATGGTCTGTTGATATGATTTGGAGCAAGCTATTATTTTTTTTTACCCATAGTCTGGTCAAGCAGATCATCTCTTTCATAATGGAGGAAAACGGTCCTTTTTGTGTTGAAATAAAAGACAGCATTTCCTTGTGAAGACGCAGTCAGTGAACAGTGAATGTGGGCTTTAGAGGTAAGATTTGTGTGGGAGGAGAGTCCTCCTCGTGGTCAATGATGGGAGTACAGACAAATTTTCTGAAGCCCGGGAGAGCGGAAGAACCTAAGGCTTTTCTGGTGCTAGAGGCAGTGTGGCGCTCCCCCATACTCAACCCATTTGATCCCGAACTGCAAGGAGGTCTGGCCATAGTGATAGGTTTTGTTGAAATCTTTTTTTTTTTCCTGCATTGGTGCGCTTCAATTTTTATCTTTCGAGTTAAATGTTCTCTTTGATGTATGAAGTGCCTCTTTGGCTACCAGCACAACAGTACCCACTTCTGGCCACGGAGGCTGAAAAATCTGATTTATCCTCTTCACTCTGGCTCTGATGATGGCGCTTCCCTCTGCTGACTCACTTCCGGCTGGGAGAATTTAGCCAAAACCTGGCGATTATGACCATTTTAAACTTGTCTTCAATGTCCTGTTTTCCTCCAAGAGTCTGAGTGTATGCCTGGGATGGTGCCGAAAATCAAGCACGGTTATGTTACTGCAGTGCAGATAATGCCCACTCTTTCTGTTTCTATGCTGCCACCCATTAATAATTTTGCTGGAGGAGGAAGAATCAAAAAGTAGTAAGGTTTAATTGAAAGTGTGTGTGTGTGTGTGTGTGTGTGTGTGTATGCACTGACTTTGTGCACAGTATGTGTGTGCTTACTCTAGTTAGGACGAGTGGTTTCCCTTCAGATTCTCAGTTTCTTAGCCTTGTGCCCTTCCCTCCCTTATGGTCAGTTGTCCTCAAGGAATCCGAAGCAACGAGGCTTCTAAAAGTGGTTGTAGAGTGGTGAAATTCTGCCCACCTCAATCCTAGCAAGTGCATAGATGCTTTTACCGGCAGGCATGAGGCGTGGAGCAGTGAGACGTTCAGCACCTGGGCGAAAGGGCGGCTCCTTTTCAGTGGGTCTTGATGCCTCCAGCTCTGGTTCAAGTACTCGGTACTTCTACGCACACTCCAAGTGCACACATAAAGTAGAACCCCTCATCCTTCCCAAGGAAACCCCTATGCATGTCAGGTGGGTTTTACAAAGGGAGGAACCATAGCATTTCATGGTTTTCCTTCCTGAGTCCTTTGGGTGCTTAGAGGGGAGAGATAATACTTCTTTCTCCAACCTTTGAAAGGCACATCCCAGCACGAAAACGCCTTAAGCTAGCTTTCCTGCAATTAGAATCAAATGCTGGGGGTCGACCCTGCGTATTTTTTTTAACAAAGTAGGTAAGAGATCTTTTAGTATCTTCCCTTGCCGTTATCTTTGCCTAAGTCGCGTCTGAAACCACGCGATCAGCTGCAGTCAATTCTCACTGCCCACTCCAGTTTCAAATTCTGCGGCACTTCCCCCCTACTTGTCATGCGAGGGAGTATTGCACCAAAGGTGCGGCAAGCCTCTGCCTAATCCTCTATACGAAAGGGGCCAGACTGCGATCTGTGCCACAACAAAGATGGCCGCAGGTTCAGCCCTTGAGGGGCGTGGTCAGGCGTGCTCCTAGCCAATGAGCTCTAGCGCCTGGCCGCCGCCAATTGGAAGGCAGCGCGGGCTCCAGCGCCGGTGTTCCAGTCACTATGTCGGGTTTCCCGGCAAAGGGTGCTGGGGTCCGCGATGGCCCCATGGGTCTCAGAAAATCTTGGACCGAGCTGCTGGGTAGGTCTCGCTGCCACTACCTTCCGACCTCCACTTGTCAGCGTCCACGCAGTCCTTCCATTCTCCTGGGTCCAATCTCCACTGTCTTCCTCTTCGGGTCCCAATGTGGCGCAGCCCTGCGACCTGCAGAACTGGAGTCAGCAGAGCCCCAGTCCGCAATGGGCCCCAGGCTTTCTGGTCCCAGCCGCTAGCTTGCAGGAGCGACAGATGACTGTCCTGATCTTGGGCAGCTCTCCCTGGATCTCTGCGCAGGGTGTCACCTTGTGTACGTTGTGTTAATTTTTTAAAAAATCTTTTAGCGGGCAGAGTCAAGAAGCAAAAATACAACCCTGAAAGGGAACAGAAATTAAAGGATTCAGCTCTGCAACTCCTAAGATACCATCAAAACATGAACGACCTTTTACTAGAGGTAAGAGGAAGTTGGCAGGTCTGGGCAGGTTGGGTATTTATAATATCCTTGTAAGCCTATGTATCTGGAGAATAACTGGTAACTGCAAACCAAGTGAGGAGAAAGCTTGAGTGTATTTTAGGCCTTTGGCGATTAAAGCAGTTGGGTAGTAAATGTTGTAATTCTTTTTTTTTTTTTTTTTTTTTGGTTTTTTGAGACAGGGTTTCTCTGTATTGTTTTGGAGGCTGTCGGACCAGCCCGGCCTCGAACTCACAGAGATCCGCCTGTCTCTGCCTCCCGAGTGCTGGGATTAAAGGCATGCACCAAAAATGTAATTTTTGAAAGGCTTTAGTAAATTCCTTCTTGCAAAAAAGAACTTGAGGAGCCGGCTGGAAAGGTGGTTCTGTACATACTGTTTTGTCTTTGTTTTATGTGTATGTATGAACGACATGTCTGCTTATGGAAGTCAAAAGAAGGCATCAGATCCCCTGGAACTGGAGTTATGTATGGATGGTTGTGAGCCATGAGGGTGCTGAGAATCAAACCTTTGCAAGCACAAGTGCTCTTAACTCCTGAGCATCTGTCTCTCCAGCTCTAACACATCATACTGTTCTCACAGGAGACCTGAGTTTAGTTACCAGAACCCGTGCCAGGTGGCTCAGAACCATTTGTAACTCTAGTTCCAGGGGATCGGATGCCCTCTACTGAAGACACTGTACAAACTGGTACACACACACACAAGCAGGTACACGTGCTGGCTAGTTTTATGTTAGCTCAACACAAGCTAAAGTCATTTGGGAAGAGTTAAACTCAACTTAGGACCCCCCCCCCCATTGACTTGTGGGCAAGCCTGTGCTGCATTTTCTTGATTAATGATTGATATGGGAGGGTCCAGCACATTGTGAGTGGTACCATCCCTGGGCTGGATGTAAGCAGCAGTCCTCCATAGCCACTCCATCAGTCCCTGCCTCCAGGTTCTTGTCTTGAATTTCTCTCCTGACTTTCCTGGATGGTGGATTACAAATTGTTTTATATGTATGCTTGTTTCTCTCTCTCTCTCTCTCTCTCTCTCTCTCTCTCTCTCTCTCTCTCTCTCTCTCTCTCTCTCTCTCTCTCCTTTTTGTTTTTGGACAGGGTTTCCCTGTGTAGCTCTGGCTTTCCTAGAACAGGCTGGCCTGGAACTCAGAGATCCTCCTGCCTTTGCAGGGTGTGCACCACCACTGCCCAGAAGATGGACTACAAGTTGTAAACTAAAATAAGCCCTTTTCTCCCCAAGTTGCTTGTGATCATAATGTTTTTATCACAGCGATAGAAATTCTAAGACACATATACACAAAAAAAAATGAATTTAGAAACAAAACAAAAAGCCCCAACCAAACAAAAGAAAATTTGAGAGTGCCCACTGTGCCCATGACACAGCTCAAACTCAGAAAGTGGAGTACTTTATGTTTTGGTTTGTAGGTAGAAGATCCACAGTGTAAAAAATTGTGTCTCAGCAAACTGATTGACTGTGACAGTGCTTCAGCCTACTCTGATCGGTCCAGTTCCTTCATTGGTAAGTTGCTACTGCTCTTTTTCAATTCACTGAGTTAGAGAACTTTTAAGGGAAAAAGTCTTCATCTGTTTATAATATACACATTTAAATTCGACCAAATATCTTTCCTTTTATGTATTGTCACTAGTAACATAGGTTTTATGACTTGTTTTGTTGCTGATTTGTTTTTGTTTTTTTGTTTTTTGAGACAAGGTTTCTCTGTAGCTTTGGAGGCTGTCCTGGAACTCACTCTGTAGACCAGGCTGGCCTCGAACTCACAGAGATCCACCTGCCTCTGCCTTCTGAGTGTTGGGATTTAAAGGCGTGGGGCACCACCACCACCTGGCCTTATTGCTGATTTTTTTAGAATGTATTTCTGTGTGGGGTGTGTGTGTGTGTGTGTTGTGTATGTGGGAAGGGCACATATGGAAGTCAAAGGACAAGATTTAAACTCAGGTCTCCATGTTTGTGTGAAAAGCATCTTTACCTTCTGGGCCATCTCACTGCTCATGCCCCGCCCCCCCTATATTGAGACAGGGTCTGTATCCTAGGCTGGTCTACACCTTGCTATATACTGAAGATGATCTTGAATTCCTGACCCTCCTCTTTCTACTTCCTGAGTGCTGAGATTGTGCTGGGGATCAAACTTAGGGCTTCACTCTTGCTAGGCAAACACTTTATCAACATTTCCAGCTCCTATTGCTGGGTTTGAAAATGGACTCAGCTAAAGGTATAAGGGACCCAAGTTACCCTTGGAAAAATCGTTTGGTGTTGTGCATCTCCTTCATGGCAGTAAAATGACTGGGGTGAGCAGGCATGAAACCGGAAACATGCTCCTACATGTTGGATGAAGGGTGGGGCAAGAAGTAAGTTATTTTTTTGCACTTCACATTTTTCATTCTACACTGATATTTTTTTCAATAAGTGATACTATGTAGATGAAGTTTCTGTTCCACCCAGCCTTAGCTGCTGTTTAGTTCCAAATAAACACACAGAAGCTTATATTAATTTTAAACTGTTTCGCTTATGGCTCAGGCTTCCTATTGGCTAGCCCTCTCCTAGTTAATTAAACCATAACTATTAAGCTTTGTGTCTCCAAGTGGCCTTATTTTACTGGAAAATGCCCAGGCATCCTACCTTCCTGGTAGCTACATGTTGTCTCCTGGAGACTAACTCTCTCCTCTTCCTAGCATTCTCTTATTCTGATATCCCCACCTATACTTCCTGCCTGGCTACATCCTGCCTATCCATTGGCCGAAACACCTTAATTCATCAACGAGTATGAGAAACCATATATTCACAGCATACAGAAGGACATCCCCCATCATCTCTTCTTTTCTGTCTAAATAAAAAGAAAGGTTTTAACTTTAACATAGTAAAATTATATTAAATAACAGTTATCAAGCAAGAACTATAGTTAGCAATATTTAGTCCACTAACATTTGGCAAAATTTAAAGAAAATATTCTATCATCTAACCTATCTTTGTGAGTCTAAAGTTTATGTGTAACTTATCTATTATAACTAAGGAAAACCATAACTATAGCTATCTGTTTTCAACTCCATCAAAGACCCAGAAGAATAATATATAAACTCTAGAATTGATAGAGACATCTCGCTGCCTGAGCCTATAGGCCTATAGGCTACAGAGCCTATAGGCCTAGAATATCTGGCAGACTTTTTGATGAAGCAGGGGTCTTGAAGGACCATCCTGTCCCTTGAAAAGTTCAGCAGTCACTTTTCTTTGTAACCTGCTTGTCCAGTTTGGACAGCGTGCTGTCAAGCAGTCCAGGCAAGAGCAGTTTCTTGTCCAAATGGCTATCCCTGCCATGTTGAAGACAAACTCCATAACAAGTTTCTTCAATGCCCATCTTCCTCTCTAGTGTAATTGGTGTTGCCAGGAGCAGATGTATCTCATTGTCATGAAAAATCCTAATAAACCATTTTAATTGCCATATTCTGTAGGTCTTTGAAAGGTTTTGAAGAATACCTATCCATTTGAAATATATCTCTGTATGTATAGAAAACCTAAAATAACTATAAGTTTTGACTATGACAGGTTATTATCTATAATCTGTATTTAATTATGCATTACATTTTTTAAAATATTTATTTTTTATGTGAGTGCTCTGTCTTCATGTACACCTACATGCTGGAAGAGGTCAGATCCCATTATAGATGGCTGTGAGCCACCATGTGGTTGCTGGGAATTGAACTCAGGATCTCTGGAAGAGTAGCCAGGGCTCTTAACCGCTGGGTCATCTCTCCAGCCTCTATACATTACATTTTTAAATGAGCTGTATAAATACAATACCTAAACAAAAGTAAAACTATACATATAACAAAATTGACCTTAAATTTGTATTAATAAACAAAAATCCATACCAATGCAAAGTATTCATTTCTATATTATATAATTTTTTTTCTTTAGAAAGAGATTGACTATGATCATTAACCATTTATAACCAACCCCATATAACTGAAAACAAATATTTATAACAATATATGGGAATGTAGGCATAGTTCTCTCCAAACTGCTTCCTGCTGTATCGAGGTGCTGTCAATCCCAAAGGAATCCTGAAAAAACCCAGAACTGGCCAAATCCTAGCTGTAGTAGTCTGTAAGACTGCATCATCCCAGCTGTCTTGGATGTTGGATCACCTGGGACACTGCTTCAGGGGGTCTTGTTTGATCAAACCATATTAGTCTGGAAGAAATCCATAGCTTTTCATCTTCTGTGGAAACAAAAGCAGATCCTCTTTTCCAAAGTAACATGTCCTTAGACTTAAATTTTGAAGTCAAGGCACTTTCAAAGCATATAGATTGGAATAATCCAGCAGCATTTATAATCAAATGTCTTTTAGCAGCTGTTATTCTTTCCTCAGCAATCAAACAATTCAAAGACAACACAGTAACAGACTGGGGATTTTCCATCTTTACGTGGCTTTTAAAAAATTATTCTATTTCTCTTGCTTTTGTTTATTTTTATTTTTTTATTTATTTGAGATAGTTTCTCTGTGTATCTTTGGCTGTCCTAGACTCTGTAGACTGGGCTGGCCTTGAAATCACAGATCCATCTGCCTCTGCCTCCTGAGTGCTGGGATTAAAGGCATGTGCCACCATACCCAGTTACTCTATTTCTGTTTTAAGGACTTTCTCTATCTTTCTTTTCTCTCCCTAGCACAGATATATATTATATATGTATATATATAATTTTTTTTTGGTTTTACGAGACAGGGTTTCTCTGTATTGTTTTGGAGACTGTCAGACCTCGAACTCACAGAGATCCGCCTGCCTCTACCTCCCGAGTTTTGGGATTAAAGGCGTGCGCCACCAATGGCGCATATGTATATTTTTAAACACACTGTAATCCATTTAGAGAGTTTTTCTTTATCTGAATCAGTCTTTATGTCTCTACTGTGTCTAAGGCTCTGGGTTTGATCCCTATCATGGCAAAACACAAGAGCCTGATGAGTTCTGTTTATTGTACTCCTTTATAAGGAAGATGCTTTAAAGTTTTCTCTGTATGTTGCAATGGAATGTATCCATTGTGGTACATGATGCATATATATGTGTGTGACTTTGGGTTGCAAGGCTGCCTCTAATTGTACTGAGAGCTGCTAATTTGTCCCTGAAATTATCTCCATTTTGTGTCTCTTGTTTTTTTTCCTTTTTATCTATTCTTTCCCCTTGGAGGCAGTTTACCATGATGCAACAACTTAATAAGCATTTTCCAACTTAAGTCTTCTTAAAGGTTTTCAGGGAAAACCATGGTTTGTTTTGTTTTTAAGGCTCTGCTTTTCAGGATCAAGCCTCACGGCTGGGAGTTCCTGTGGGCTTACTATCTGCCAGAGTGTTTGCTTGCAGTGTGCAGCAGATCTGTGTGGAGCCCAGCCACCCTGTGCTGCTCAGCTCGGAGCAAAGAGTAAGAGGCTAGCCCCTTAAATGAGGACATGTCCCTTTTAAGCTATCTGGGAAAACAGGGTATTTCTTTAATATTGTTTTTATAGATAATTTGCCTTTTGTTTTTTAGAAGAAACTGTCTTCCTTGTTAGAGATCGCTCAGCATTTGTTGGCACACAATATGTTTTCCCGTCTCACCTTCTGTCAAGAATTGTGGAAAGCACAGGTAAACTTGAAGCTCTTTCACTTGGGATTTTCTTAAAGCAGTGTTCTGTTGGCTTGGGTCTATGAATTTCTTAGGAATTTGGCGAAGTATCTCACTAATTAAAGAGCTTGAAAGGAGAGTTCATCAGATGCTCCTGAAATCCTGTCTTCCACCAAACATAGAGCATAGCATACCCGAGAAGTCAGCATGACCCTTCTACTTTTTGGATATACTATTAGGAAGGCTCTTCCAGAGAACATGTGCTTTAAAACTATACTAATAAAAGTTAGAGATGTAGCTCGGATGATGGGGTGCTAGCATGCATTAGGCACTGGATTAGACCCCCAGCTGCTCATAAACTGGGTATAGTACTGTATGCCTGTAATCCTAGTGCTTGGGAGGTAGAGGCAGAAGGGTCAGTAATTTGAATTCATCCTTGGCTGCATAGCAAGTTCCAGATCAACCTGGACTACATGAGACCCTACTTCAAAAAACAAAACAAAATAAATTATACTAGTAGGCTCCATTTGAAACATTAATTTTTTTCTTAATCTTTATTGTGCATATATGTATGAATGAGTATGCTCTTAAGCCATGGCACGTGAGTAGAAATCAGATGACAACTTCCAGGTGGTAATTTAGAATGCATAGGGCACAGTGTATAGAAAGGGTTGGAAATGACTTACTGCAGGCTGCTGGGAGGAGGTCAGAGCTGTCATAAGTGGCAGAGGAAAAGCCATGCAGGACCATAAGGGATATGAATGCTGTGCATGTGGGAAGCTGTGACATGAGCCCTTTAGGCCACACTGTGACACTTTTTTTTCTCAGTGGGTATATGAGCATAACCTAAGCTGAGCATTCTGTAGGAAGATGTGCACGTTGAGATAATGCTGTTGTGTTTTTCAGAACTCATTGTTGCTTGAAGCTGTGTGGTGTCTTCACATGCACAGTGTTGTGAGCCTACAAGAGCTACTGCAAAGGTAGTTTGTTATGGGATATTTGGGCAAACTGTGTAACGATGTTATTGCTGTTTTATCTTAATAAAGAGCTGAATGGCCAATAGCTAGGCAGGAGAAAATAGTCGGGACTTCTGGTGAGAGAGAAGAACTCATCGTTAGAATCTAAGTGTACAGGATTCACCAGCAAGACACATAGCAAGTCAGATGTACATTATGGAGGAGAGGTAACATGGCAGAACCACATGGCAGAATGTAAATTAATATAAATGGGCTAATTTAAGTTATAAGAGCTAGCTGGGGGCTGGAGAGATGGCTCAGCGGTTAAGAGCACTGGCCACTCTTCCAGAGGACCCAGGTTCAAATCCCAGCACCCACATGGCGGCTCACAACTGTCTATAATGAGATCTGATGCCCTTGTCTGGCCTGCAGGCATGCATGCAGACAGAATACTGTATACATAATAAATAAATAAATCTTAAAAAAAAAAAGAGCTAGCTGGGAGCAAGCCTAATGTAAGGCCCCAAGATTTCATAATTAATAAGAAGTCTCCATGTCATGGCTGGGTGGTGGTGGTGCATGCCTTTAATACTAGCACTCTGGAGGCAGAGGCAGGCAAATCTCTGTGAGTTGGGGCCGGGTGGTGGTGGCGCACGCCTTTAATCCCAGCACTCGGGAGGCAGAGGCAGGCGGATCTCTGTGAGTTCGAGGCCAGCCTGGTCTACAGAGTGAGTTCCAGGACAGCCTCCAAAACAATACAGAGAAACCCTGTCTCGTTAAAAAAAAAAAAAAAAAAAAAAAAACTCTGTGAGTTGGAGGCCAGCCTGGTCTACAAGAGCTAGTTCCAGGACACCCTCCAAAGCCACAGAGAAACCTTGTCTTGAAAAAAAAAAAAGGCTCTGTGTCTTTATTTGGGAGCTGGCAATCCCAAAAGAAAGTCCAACAACAGTCACTAGTTATTCTGCATTACTTAATATCACATGGCCTTTTTTTTATTAAATACCTATTTAGTGTGGGATAGGAGGTGCATATGCTTTAGCATGTGTGCAGGGGTCAGAGAATGAGTCAGTTTCTCCTATCATGTGGGTTTGGGTTGGGAGTGGTGTCAAGTTTTAGTGGTAAGTGCCTTTACCTGCCACACTGACTGGCCTGATTATATGTCCTTTTTGTTGTTGTTGTTTTTAGTTTATATTTTTTATGTATGAGTGCTCTGTGTATACCTACATGCCAGAAGAGGACATCAGATCCTATTATAGATAGTTGTGAGCTACCATGTGATTACTGGGAATTGAACTCATGACCTCTGGAAAGGCAGCCTGTGTTCTTAACCACTGAGCCATCTCACTAGGCCCCAACATGTCCTTTTGTTAAGAGAACATTTATTGGGATTAAAGTTTCCTTATGCATGCTTTCTTTGTATATGTCTTGTGCTGATGCTTTTTGTGTGTATATGTAAATGTACATCGTTGTATGTGCATATGTATACACATGCTTAGAGAAGCCAAAAGTCAGTACTGGGTGTCTTCCACACTCACTCTTCCTTTTTGACTCAGGATCTCACTGAACTGGGAGCTTGCCAATTTGGCTAGACCTGCTAGCCAACAAACCCCAGGGATCTTCTTGTCTCTGTCTCCCTAGCACTGGGTACAGGGAGCAGCAACTCACTCATTGAGCCATTTCCTTAGCCCTTCTCATGATGATTACTTTTTAAAAACTGGGGGAAAAAACAAAGAAGCACTTTCAAGGCAGAGACACATGGATTTCTGTGAGTTTAAGGCTAGCCAGGACTACAGAGTGAGACTGTCTCAAAACAAAATAAAAACCAGATAACAGCAACAAAAACGGGAAAAGATGGATGACTGTAGAGTGTTTGCATTGTGTTCAGTCCCCAGTGTTTCATAAACCAGGCATAGTAGCAGAGTCCTATAATCCCAGCACTTGGGAGGGAAAGGATCTGGGCTGGAGAGATGGCTCAGAAGAGTACTTGTTGCTCTTCCAGAAGACCTAGGTTTGGTTTCCAGCATCCACAGAGCAGCTCATAACCATTGTATCTCCAGTTACAGGAGATCTGACACTTTCTGACTTCCGCAGGCATGGCATGCACGTGGCATACAAATATACAAAATACTCTTCACATTAAAGGTTTTTCTTTTAGTTAAATTTAAAAATAAATATAAAGTCATTAAAAACAAACAACTTGAGGTTATTCTCAGTTACATAGCAACATCAAGACTAGCCCTGGGCTACATGAGACCCTGTCTCAGAAAACAAAACAGAAAAGTTAACTAAAGAGATGTTCAGGTAAACGTGTTGATATATGTAATATTTATTCCTTTCTGAAATTACTTCAGGAGTTGGGCTTTATTAATTTGTGTGAAGATGCCAGTGTGCCAGAGCTCTTGGGTGGAACTCAGAGGACAATTCATAGGAATCAGCTGTCTCACCATGTGGCTCCCCAGGATTGGACTTAGGCTGTCAGGCTTGGTGGCAAGTATATTTTCCTTACTTGCCAGCCCAGAAAAGGAACTTTATAACAAGACATAACTTGATAAAGATGGAATACCACATAAGATGACAAAATCAGAAGGAAGGAAGGAAGAAGCAGATGGACCATAAGTAAGATACTTAGCAAACTTGAAGATCTATCCTGAGCCAGCAGCGTGGATGAAAGACAGCCATCGAGTCTGTTTTATCTATTCATAAAGGCATGAGTGTTGGGAGCATTTATACCTTGGGCAACTGGGTGAAAACATCTCAGAGGCCTGGTCACAAGGCCATTGAAGTGTTTGGAACCTTAGGCCCCTCTAGTCCATCAGAAGGCTGGAAGTCTAGCTTGGGAGAACATCAAACACAGTTGAAAATATTATCTCGAAACCAGGTGGTACTGTGACACAAGTTCCCATAAAAAAGAATAAAAAAGTTGAGAGAAGCCAGGCAGTAGTGGCACACCCCTTTAATCCCAGCACTCAGAAGGCAGAGGCAGGCAGATCTCTGAGTTAGGCCAGCCTGGTCTACAAAATGAGTTCTAGGACAGCCAGAGCTACACAGAGAAACCCTGCCTCCAAAACCCAAAAAAGACAAGAGGAAATCACATACAGTTGTTTTTAGGATCTTGAAGTAGGAAGACCTAAATATGACAAAGCTCAGAGGCTAAGAAACATTAATAAACTCAATTACATGGAGAGCACATCTCCTAATATATACACATCAGGACATCAAATTCTACAAAGCAAAAAATGTTTTTTTTTTTTTGAGGGTGTGGGATGCTACAGGCAGGGGGTTGAACTTGTTAGTGATTATTTCATTATCATTGAGCTACTTTTAATTTTTAAAGGTTTATTTTTCTATGTATATGTATGTATGTGCACCATATGCATACAGTGCCAGAGGAGGGTATCAGATCCTCTGGAACTGGAGCTACAGGTGGCTGTGATCTGGCATGTGGGTGCTGGGAGCCGAACCTGTGTCCTCTGCAAGGGCAGCAAATGCTTTAACCTTGGAGGCATTTCTGTAGCCCTAAATGTTTTTAGTGATAGCGTTTCACTATACAGCCCTGGCTGTCCTGGAATTCACCGTGTAGACTGGACTGGCCCCAAGCTTACAGAGATCCACTTTTCTCTACCTTCCCAGTGCTGGGATTAAAGGCATGTGCCACCACGCCCAGCTTCTTAGTAAACTTTTAAAAATGATGTTTTTCTTGAATTAGTAGCAATCATGCAGATGCCCTGTCCTTGCCCACTTTGCTCCTTGAAACAGGATTTGACAGCTGCTATTTCATTCCTGTTTTGTTTTTTGAGACAGGGTTTCTCTGTGTAACAGCCTTGACTGTCCTGAAACTCTCTCTGTAGTCCAGGTTGGCCTCGAACTTAGAGATCCTGCCTGCCTCTGCTGCCCAAGTGCTGGGATGAAAGCCGTGCGCCACCACTGCCCGGCCGCTATCTCATTCTTATAGGCAAGGTTTCCAACCTCAGTTCTTTGTGTCCTCAGCCATCCTGACACTCAGGCTATGACCATGTGGCTCTTCAGGAACCTATGCATTCTGTGTGAGCAGATAGACGCACCAAGCCCATCTTCTGATACTACTAAAGCTATGCTTTCTGGTATGTTCACTGCAGGCGGGTTCCTGGGACGATCATTCATTTTGACCGTGGGCACTAGAGCTGTCTCTCCATTCCTGTGGGCCTCGGGCCTAACATGAGATAAACTTACCAAGTCAACCGTGGGCTTCTGTTTTCTTTAGTGTCAGGACTTGGGATTTCCTTTGGGTAGCCCCAGCTCCTTTTGCTGTCTGAGCTATAGACTGTACTGCCGGTGGTCCCAGAGACAGAACACCAAAGATGAGAAGCATGTGCTCTGTACGGGCAGCTTGTAGGTTTCTTTTCTTTGTCTTTTGAGACAGTATCTTACTGTGTAGCTCTTGCTGGCCTGGAACTTGTTACGTAGAACAGGCTGGACTCAAACTCAGGCATCTGCCTGCCTCTGCCTCTTGGATGCTAGGATTAAAGGGGTGTGCCTCCACACTTTGTCTTCTCTTATTTTTTGAGAAGACTGACCTCTCACATTCACAGCAGTCTTGCCTCAGCCCCCAAAAAGCTGGGACTGCAGGTATTTAACCATCATGCCTGGCAAGTTTGTATGTTTCTTTGTTTGCCAAAGGTATGATTCCAGTGTTATGGACTGCTTGTATTTCCTGTAATCTGCCCTAGATAGGTAAAGTTTAAATCAGAGATAAGAGAGAAAACCTCAATTCCAGGCTTCCTTAGTCTGATCTTTAAAATTTTGGATCAGCCAGGTGTGGTGGCTTATTCCTTTAGTCCCAGCACTCCAGAAGCAGAGGCATGCAGGTCTCTGAGTTCAAAGCCAGCCTAGTGCATAGCTTTAGGCCAGCTAAGGCTATGTTGTGAGACCCTCTCTCAACCCAATCCCAAATATAAAATTATGAATAAGTTTGTTTTTCTCATCCCACAGAATGTGATGCTTCTATGGGTAGTGGTTTAGAGTTTAATACCAGCTATCCCAACTAGGTTGGTAGTTCTGAGATTGAAGCTGATGTAAGCAATTTAGCAAAGCAACAGTCTCAAAGCAAACAAAAAAATAGGCATTTTCCAGGTCCTTGAGTTGATGGTGGGCAGCTAGACTAGCCTGAAGCTCACAGTCCTGGGCTGGAGAGAGGGCTCAGTGGTTAAGAACTGTTCTTTCAGAGATCCTGGATTTGATTCCCAGCCACCATATGGCAGTTCGCAACCAACAGTAAGTCCAGTCCAGGATATCCAACACCCTCTTCTGGTATCTGTGGGCATTGAACTCGCCTAGTGTACCTGTGGCAGTGCAGATAAAACACTCAAACACATAAAATAAAAGTAAAATCTTAGAAAAGAAGTCCTTATCATAAACTTGACTTTTTTAAGGATTTGAATAAATGCTCGTGTTTCAGTCACATGGGCAGTGGAAGCTGTAGGAGTTCACCTAGGGCTCGGTGCTCTGCTTCAGAGCAGTTCCTCGGTCTATGCACACATGTTCTCCCTGGAGGTGGGCTGTCTGCGCCACTGCTGTTTGGAGAACATAATGCTTCTAAGTTAACTTGAATTTCTTTTTATCTCTTAGGTATTGTGCAACTATTAGTTTCAAGAGGATTTCAGGAAAGCTCAGACCCAAGATGTGTGGAACCTGAAAAGATACCCCAGGTAGGAAGGAAAAATAAAAGAGTGGAAGAAAATTAGACTTTTTTGAGGGGAGGAATGATTGTTTTTTCAAGACAGGGTTTCTCTGTATAGCCCTGGCTGTCCTGGAACTCACTATGTAGACCAGACTGGCCTCGAACTCAGTGATACTCCTGTTTCTGCCTCCAGAGTGCTGGCATCAAAGGCTGTACCACCACACCCAGCTTAATCTTGAACTTCTAATCTTCTTTATTCCACCTCAGAAGTGTTTGGATGGATTATAACTGCCCAGTCACTCAATTTTATGACATGCTAGCAACATACATACTCAGCAGAACTTAACCTGGATTTATTAAGGAAATGAGAAAGAACTCCCAAGAGTGGGAAGGGTTCCAAGGGAAGAACACCTTACAGGCAGTTTCTTTTTTTGCTTCAACATAACAAGGCATTCACTTGTGTATTGCTGCTTGAATATTACTGAGTGAATTTCTGTTCTGTTCTCAGGTTGCTACTGATATTCTACAGAGAATGCTGGCTTGTAAGTTGCTTGCTCTGAGCCCCAGGGTATAAATGACTAATTTGCTTACTAGAAATTCTAGCAGATTCCAGTCTTTCCGTTTGAAGTAACCCACCTCTGCTTCACTGCCTCTAGAGGCCCTGTTTATGTCATAGTTGTGGCGTGAACTTGCTTCTATTTTTCTCCTCATGACTCCATATTTATCTATTTATTCTATTTATTTATTTATTTATTTATTTATTTATTTATTTATTTATTTGAGAGACCGGATTTCTTTGTAGTTTTGGAGCCTGTCCTGGAACTTACTCTGTAGACCAGGCTGGCTTTGAACTCACGCAGATCTGCCTGCCTCTGCTTCCTGAGTGCTAGGATTAAAGGTGTGAGCCACCATGCCCATCAAACTTTTAAAATTTATATATATATGTCTTTTGCCTGCATATGTCTCTATTCAGCACGTGCGTTCCTAGTGCTTACAGAGGTCAGAGCAGGGTGTTTCTTCCTCTGGAAGTAGAGTTACAGACAGTTGTGAGCTGCCATGTGGGTGCTGGGAATTGAAACTGGGTTCTCTGAAGAGTCGCCAGTGCTCTTACTGCTGAGACATCCTTCCTAGGCCCCACATTTAATTTCTTGGGCTGTGGCTGGGCTGTTGCCCAGTGACAGAACACTAATCCGGCATGTTCAGTACCTAGCACCACTAACTCTCCAGAGCTGTAAAGTGTCATCCTGTTTTCCCTAACTTTAAAGCTTACAGATCCCGGTGTCTGACGGCACTTAGATGTCTTGGGAGACCTGGTGTCATCCTCAGAGAGTCTGGACCTTCAGAGGCCTGTGACAGACATTGATCTGTTGTCTGAGAGCCCTGGGTGACACAGGACAGGCCATTCATAGGGCTAATGCTTGTTCTCTGTCTTGTGTTCTGTTCTTAGTTGCACTTGATACCCTGAATGCTGATCCACAGGTGACCTCGGCTTACCAGGCAGTGAGGGGCTGGTATGTCTGCAGGGTCTGCCATTCATGTGAAAGATATTCTTGCTTCGCTGGGAAACATGGCCTCTTAAACACTTTGTTGGTAGCAGTAGCCGACTGGGTACTGTCTGCTGTTGGGTGACTTTGGGGAAAATTGTTGTTAAAGCTCTGGGAGGTCGGGAGGTCTGTCCAGCCTTCTCCGAGATGGGGCAAGAGATTCCTTCTTACTGTAGAATCCTGTTCCGTCTCCAGATTTCTAGGGCATGGGGTCCTTCAGCCCTTCTTTTCTGTCATATGCCCAGTGTGACCTCCCTCATGTGTGTCTGTCTTCAGCTTTAGTGTGCAGCCCCAACCTTCCTAATCTGTGTCTAGTGTCCTGCCTGCTTCTGGACTCTTGACACCCTCAGACAGTTCACTTCTCTGTTGTGCAACTACACATCCCTGGCTTCATTTGATACCTGTGGCTCCCTGGCCTGGTGGAGAAAATGCTTCCCAGGCTTGAAGCAGGGTGCTGCAGGCCAGGGGCAATGCCCTGCTCCTTGTGCACCCCTTATGCTGTTTGTAGGTGTAGTGTATACTCTGGACATGTGTGCTGTGGTATGATTGCAGTGGATTCTCTGAAGAGGTTCTTCAGTCACACTCTAACTCAGATTCTGACTCACAAGCCTGTGCTGAAAGGTAAGTCACTCTGCTGTGGCTGCAGTCCCCTGCCCACTCTGGGGTCTCTCAGAGTTGGTGAAACTCTGACTCTGTCCTCTACAGGCACCTGTGATTTAGTCCTGCAGATTAAATAGAGCACTTTAAGACCCCTTCAGATAATGACACTTTATCTCAGAGCCCGGCATCCTTGTTGTCTGGAACCAAAATTCCTCTGATACTGAAGGATGACCTCAGTTAACAAAAGGAAATGACAATGTCAACAGTACTTGGAAAAAGATTAAAACAGGATTGTCTTTTTACATTGAAGCTCTTAACGAATGTTTTTTTGGGGACCAGGTGGTGGTGGTGCATGCCTTTAATCCCAGCACTCAGGAGGCAGAGACAGACAGATCTCTGTGAGTTTGAGGCTAGCCTGGTCTGCAGAGAGAGTTCCAGGACAGTCAGGGCTATTACACAGAGAAACCCTGTCTCAACAAACCAAAATAAATAAACAAATAAACAAAAAGAAAAAAAAGATTTTTTTAAAAAATGGGTTTTTGTTTCATTGATTGTTTTTGTTGATATTGCTTTTGTTTTTTTTTTTTAATAAATCCTGACTTGAAGTTTGTTGATTTTCCTCTGCAGTATCTGATGCCATTCAAATGCAGAAAGAGTGGAGCTTTGCAAAGACCTGTCACCTGCTCACCACTCTGTATTGTAGGGTGAGTGTGTGGTCTGCTCCTCGCATCGAGATTTAAGGTTTAAGTCAAGATCAGACTGACTCCTGTGGACACTGTGCAGAGGTTCAGGAGTCTCCAGCAGGACCCAACTGTCCTCATCAGGATTGCAGTTCAGGACCAGGAGCTGACCTTGTCCTTGAGCAGAGGCCTTCCTTCTCAGAATGAGAGTTCTTCCAGCCAGTGCTGGCCTCTGCAGAGAGGAGAAATATGGAGGCCATTCATGAGACCCTCACTGAGTCTGCACTTCTCTGGTGTTGGAGTGGATGGGCTAGAGAGAGTGGAGGGGCTGGTGACTGTCTGGCAGTCATTTACTTTGGTGTTGAAAGGAGCTGGGGCTTATTATTTCAGGTTTTTGTGACACTAGGTCCGGAAGAGTCAATTGGCCGTTTGCAGGAAGTCCTGGAGACGCAGGAGGTTAATTGGCAACATGTGCTCTCCTGTTTGTCCACACTGGTTGTCTGCTTTCCTGAGGCCCAGCAGCTGGTTAAAGGTGTGTGTTCCTGGGAACTCCCCGTATGTGTGATTTGCATGCTAATGTCAGTTGAATCCTGAACAGTAGAGGCCAAGCACATTAATGATGTCCTTGACTCACTTAGAGCTTAAAAAGTATCTGTCTGTCTGTGGATGTTAGTGTTACTTCTGTGAGTCTGAGGCAGTTTGTATGTATCCAGCATGTGGTGACCATTGCTTCCTGAAGCTCATGTTTGGGTGTGTACATCCTCCCAGCTCAGACCCTCAATCACCATCGAATCTTGAATTTTGTGAGATGAGCTGCCCTCACCTCCTTCTGACTATGTCATAATCTCACAGACTGGGTGGCCGGTTTGATGACCTGTGCCTTTGAGAGCTACCACCTGGACAGCATGGTCACTGCGTTCCTGATTGTGCGCCAGGCTACTCTGGAAGGCCCCTTTGTATACCCATCCTATGCAGACTGGTTCAAGGTGAGTTACTGGAGAAGTGGGTTATGACAAATTGATATTCCAGAGGGCTGTGGGTAGGAACTGTTGACACCCTGTGCTGTGTTCTCTGTGATAAAGGGAGTCAGTTTGGCAAGCTTGGCCAAGACAGATCCTCACATGTACTTCTGGAAGCCTTCTGCTATGCTCTGCTTACAGCCCAGAGGCTCTGCATCCTTGGGGAATCACTTGTTTGGTGGAGTCTCCTTTTCTGAAACTTTCCTAAGATGGGAACCTGTTCAATAAGAGTAGAAGCAATGGCTACTTCTTTGTGTCAAATATACTGTTCCTCTTTTTTCCCCCTGAAACTTCTGAGACATGTGCCTCCTCCTTACATAACCCCCATTCCTCCCTCTTTTGTTTTCTGCTACATCTCTGTGTTTTTGTCTATACAGTGCTCGTGAGCCTGGGAGTCATCAGGCTTACCTTAGGAGGACTTTGAAAGTACAAATCTCAGGTCATCCTAGGCCTGCTGAGTCTGTGCTCCCAAGGTAAAGTCTAGAGGGAGATCCTTGGCCAGCTGGTATGAGTACAGGTTTAGGCCAGGGTGAGGTGTGTGTGATGTGTGTATGGTGTGTGTGTGTGTGTACACTGTGTGTGGTGTATATGTGTGAGTGCAGATGCTTTCCACCATTGGTTCCAGGAATCAAGCTCAGACTGTCAAGTTTGCACAGCAAACACTTAGGTGCTGAGACATCTCACAAGCCCTAAATTAAGCATTTATTTATTATGTGTTCATAAATAATAATTATTATATTTAGACAGGGTCTCTCTATGTAGCTTTGGCTGGCCTGAAACTCACTATGTGAGCTATACTGGCCTTGAGCTCTCAAAGATCTACCTGCCTCTTCCTCCTCTCCTGAGTGGTAGGACTAAAGGCATGTACCAGTAAGTCAAGGTTAAATTATTTTTATTTCTTTGTATCTATGGAGGTCAGAAGACAACTTTTTTTTAATGTCACTTCTTCCACTATGGGTTCTGGAGATCAAACTCTGGTCATTAGGATTGTCAACTGAGATCAGAAGAGGGCATGAGATTCCTTGGGGCTGGAGTTACAGGTGGTTGTAAACCACCTGGTATGGATGCTGGGAACCAAAATCAGGTCCTTAGAAGAGCAGCAAATGCTCTTAGTCACTGAGCTTATTTCCTTAGCCCCTCCTTTTAACCTTTTAATTTCATTTTTATTTTATTTATGTGTGTGAGTGTTTTGATTGTATGTATGTCTATGTACGTATGTGTGCTTGGTACCCACAAGGCCAGAAGAAGGCTTTGGATTTCCTGGAACTGGAGTTATATAGTTGGTTGTGAGCCACCATGTAGATTCTGAGACTCAAACCTGGGTCCTCTGGAGGAGCATTTATGTGCATGCATATGTACACACGTGCATATGTACACACATTCAGACAGACACAACAGAAATTAAAAATATTAAAACAGGGATTCAAATACCAAACATACAGATATGGTCAACTAAAATACAACCAACAATACAGGTAAGTTGGGTCCATTTTTAATTATCTTTTGAAGAAACTAAGGTCATAAGGACTTGTGTTGTTTTAGTTTTCTCATAAGCATTCAGAATTCTCACAGGAACCCATCCTTGGACTGTGATCTGATGCTTTCCTGCCACACTGTGTGACGTGAGAATTGAACTCAGGTTGTCAGACCTGTGTACAATGCCCTTACCCACTGAGCCATCCCGCCTGTCCCAATCTGTTGTTAAGTTGGAGTCAACTATGTTGCTTGGCGCCCTCCCTCCCTCCCTCCCTCTCTCCCTTTCTCTCTCCCTCCCTCCGGTGTGTGTGTGTATGTGTGTGTGTGTGTATGTATTTGTTGTTGTTTCAGACAGGGTTTCTCTATATAGCCTTTATTGTCCTGGAACTCACTCTGTAGACCAGGCTGGTCTCACAGAGATCCTCCTGCCTCTTCCTTCCAAGTGCTAGGATTAAAGTCATGTGCTACCACTGCCCAACCATTTAATCTATAAAATTTTTAAACAATGTGGCCTGTGCCATGAGCAAGTCTAATGTATCAGGCTTGGAGATTTAAATGAAAGGCAAGCTGTCCGGCCATTTGTGCTAAGAGAATGAGTGTGTGTGTGTGTGTGTGTGTGTGTGTGTGTGTGTGTGTGTGTTTGCCTTATACACAGACTGCTCAGTGGAGAAACCCCAGGTGTAAGAGTTCGTGGTTTCATAATTAAAGGTTGATGCCAGTGGGGCAAGGCCGGGGCTGTAAGCCAGGACTAGAGAACAGGATGCACCTGTGGTATTGGCTGACAAGCAACTCACAGAGACCCTGTGGGGGATGGGGCCCAACAACGTGGGACTGGAGAAATGGCTCAGCAGTTAAGAATTCTGGGTGCTCTTCCAGAGGTCCTGAGTTCAAATCCTAGCACTGACATCTATAATGTGATCTGATTCCATTCTGGTGTGCAGACATACTTGCAGACAAAGCATCCACATACACTAAATAAATAAGTAAGTAAATGAATGAATAAATAAATAAATAAATATTTTTTAAAAGAAAGAATTAAGCCAGGGTGTGATGATATGCCTTCAATCCCAATACCTTGATGACAGAAGTATGTGGATCTCTGAGTTTGAGGCTACATAGTGAATTCCAGGTTAGCCAGGAGTGAGACCTTGTCATACACATATACACACACAACAAAACAAAAAATCAACAAAACCCTATTAATGTTGTATGTGTATATAGTTGCTGACGGTGCTGACAGTGTCATTGTACCATGTCATAGTCTATAGTTAAATGTAACTTTATGTAGTTTTTCCTTGGTTGCCTATTGTATAGGGACATTTCTGATTTTGGTGAGTTTAGAGGCAAATTAATGTGTTCAGGAGAGTCTCAGGTGATGAAATTAACCTATTTCTTGAGTTAAGAGCCTTAACCAGGTGGACAGATTGTGTTCCTAATAGTCACAGGGTCCCATTCTTTTTTTTTTTTTTTTTTTTTTTTTTTGTGGTTTTTTTCGAGACAGGGTTTCTCTGAGGCTTTGGAGGCTGTCCTGGAACTCACTTGGTAGTCCAGGCTGGTCTCGAACTCCCAGAGATCTGCCTGCCTCTGCCTCCCGAGTGCTGGGATTAAAGGCGTGCGCCACCAACGCCTGGCCACAGGGTCCCATTCTTACTATTTTTGTTTGTTTTACTTTGTTTTGGGAACAGGGTCTCATGTAACCCAGGCTGAACTCAGTCTCACTTCCTTGATCCGTCTGCCTCCGCCCCCAGAGTGCTGGGATGCAGGCTTGCACTACCTCACCTGTTCTTAAAGGGTTGCTGGAGATTGAACGCGGATACCATGCATGCTTGACAAATGTTCTGCCAACTGAACGCCATCAGCACCTCTTTTTTGTTCTTGTTGTCTTGAGTCTGGTCTGGAGCTCACCGTGTATCCCAGTTGCTTTCCTCTTGTCTCAGCCTCCCGAGATGGAAATTACAGGCCACCACATCCTGTCCATAGACACTATTTGCACAGCAATTGTGACTTCTCCTTTGATAATCTTGGCCCATCTCTGTCACATTTTTAAGTCTCTGAGCCAAAGTTACTTCTCTCTTTTTTTCAGCAGCAGCCTTCTGTGTGGGGCATATCGTAGCTCCTGAGCTCTTGTTAGACAGCACAGCCCACAGAGTGGCCACCACAGAGCAGTACCTGATGTGATCTCTCTCTGCAGGAGTCCTTTGGGAGCTCACTTGGCTACCACAGCTGCAGCAAGAAGGCGCTGGTCTTCCTCTTCAAGTTCCTGTCTGATCTTGTGCCCTGGGAACCCCCTCGGTACATGCAGGTAAGGAGCCAACAGCTGCCTCCTGAGGTTTCCTGCTCCTGCTGTCCTTTATATAAGGGTCCGCCTCCTGCAGATCACACTGAACCAGGACTGGTTTCTGCCCTTCAACAGACAGTTCAGGTGATACCCAGCATTGGTGTACAGTGAACCAGCACAGGCACCCAGGAGAAGAGAATGTATTCTACCAGTGGCAATGAAGTGTCTGCTGCATAGGCTCTCAGAAGGACGAGCAGGTCCAAGTGGGGTCTGGAAAGATGTTATGGGGGAAGTGAGTATAGGAGGATCTATTGTTACTTTACTAAAATGATATGGTTTTATGGTATTTGAATTTCTGGGTCCTGTACAGATGGCTAAGCAGTTAAGAACACTAACTGTTCTTCCAGAGGACCTGGGTTCAATTCCTAGCACCCACATAGCTGCTCAGAACTGACTGTAACTTCAGTTCCTAAGGGATCTAATGCACTCTTCTGGCTTTTGCAGGCACCAGACACACACACACGATGGACTGACATACATGCAAACAAAGCACCCATATTATTAAGTTTACTAAAAAAAAAATCAGGGCTGGAGAGATGGCTCAGCAGTGAAGAGCACTGACTGCTCCTCTAGTGGTTCTGGGTTCAATTCCCATCACCCACATGGTGGCTCACACCATCTATAAAGAGATCTGGTGCCCTCATCTGGTATAGGTATACATGCAGATAGAACACTCATAAATAAAATAAATAAATCTTAAAAAGAAATCTGGATAGAGATATTCCCAAACTTATAATGATCGTTTCTTCCAGATTTTTTTGTTTTCTTTTAAAAAAAAAAAAGGTTTTGTCGGGCAATGGTGGTACACACCTTTAATCCCAGCACTTGGGAGGCAGAGACAGATGGATCTCTGAGTTTGGGGCCAGCCTGGTCTACTGAGCAAGATCCAGAACAGCCTCCAAAACCAGAGAAACTCTGTCTCAAAAAAAACAAACAAAAAGACTTTATGTAAATCTGCTGTTGGAATATTTGTAACAAGTTGTGGTAGTGTATACTATAATTACTGCATTTAGGAGGCAGAAGTAGGATCAATACAAGTTTGAGGGAGGTTTGCTCAACAGAGGTTCTGGGACAGCCAGGACTACTTTGTGAGACACTGTTTCAAAACAAGGAGACAGAAAAATCTTGAAACCAGGATAGTGGCCCAGTCTTGTAGTCCCAGCATTTGGGAAGCTAAGGCAGAACAATCCTAAGTTCTAGGCTAAGCCAGTCAGGGCCCCTCAGCAAGACTCTGTCTCAGTCTCCCAAAAGATCTGAAGTTAGGTACAGTGGAATATAGTCTCAGTTACTCAAGAGCCTGGTCATGAGGAGGCCAGGAGTTCAAATCCATCTGAGGAACAGTGAAACACTGTCCCAAAGGAGGAAGGAAGGAAGGCTTGGCAGTATTTTTCTTGTTGTCATATAGCCCTTTTCCCCCACTTATTTGGGGGGTAGGTACTCAAAGCTCTCATACTCTGTTTTTAGTAAGAAGTTTGATTTACATTCCAAACTGAATGGGGATCTGTGAGCAAAGGGAATAACAGACTCCAGTCATCATGGGAACTAGAACTGAACCTGTCTGCTTATCCCATGTCTGGACTCTGTCTTTCTTGTGCACTGTTGTTTGTGGCCAAGCCAACCATTCTTTAAGACTGGCAGGTGCCAGTATAGATAATGGAGCTGTGACCAGCACTGCACCCTGACACACACACACACACACCAGCGGTTGAAGTATCCTGTCCTGAGCTCTGAGTGTCTCAGCCTATGCCCCTGAGAAGTGCGAAGTCTGGACACTGAGAACCGTTCCTTCTACTCTCTGACTCTTACCAAATATACAAGGAACACATCGAGTCATTTGTGCAGACCTGCAAGCTAATTCTACGTATGTTTCCTGTTCTTTGACAAATTCTCTTCCTGCCTGCCTGCCTCTTGAACTTGCATCTTGCTGCCAAGCATGGTAGTCTGGCTCTTACTGTACTCACTGTTCCTTAAACCTGGCACTTGTGGTTAGTTTCCTGTAAACTCACCCACAAACATGCAGCAAGTTCTCTAATCACAGACCTGTACGCAGTATGGGCTCTGGCAGGCTGTGCTGGTGCTGTGTTTGTGTTTCTAGGTGATAAAATCTCCAGAGCCTGTGGTGTGGAGCTGCTGCTCCATACCCTTGGTTTCCCTCCCACTCAAAGAACCAATCACAGTACATTTTTCTTAATTTTCCCTTTGGAAGGAAGGGCAGCTGTAGCCACAGGCTTTTCTGCATTTCACCCAGTCCCTTAGCCACTTACAAAATAATCACTCAGAGGCTTAATTTTAGTTATAATTGTTCGGGCAATGGCTCAGGCTTATTACTGGCTAACTCTTACATTTAAATTAACCCATTTCTATTAATCTGTGTGTCACTATGTGGCCCGTGGCTCTGGCATCTTACTCTTCCGGTAGCTGCTGGTGTCTTTTGACCCCACCTTCTTTCTCCCTGTATTCAGTTTAGCTTTCCCACCTAGCTATATTCTGCCCTGCCATAGACCAAAGCAGCTTCAGTCATCAACCAATAAAAGCAACGCATATTTGCAGCATCCAGAATGACATCCCACATCAGGCAGCCTTCTCTTGTGTGTGTGTTTGAGAGAGAGCATCACTGTGTACCTCTTGCTAGCCTGAAACCTGCTATATAGACCAGGCTGGCCTTCAACTTGACATGATCTTTGCCACTTCCTACTGAGTGCTGGGATTACAGGTGTGCATCATCACCACACCTAACTTCTTGTGGATTTTGATTTCAAAAGTTATGTGTCTCATGCCTACTATTATGGTCACTATACCCATTGCCATGTGCTGCTAATGCCCGGTGAGAAGTACTATGTTATCCTGTGGCTTGACATTGCTGTATTGTATTTTCTTGTAGGTGCATATTTTCCACCCACCACTGGTCCCAAGCAAGTACCACTCCCTCCTGACAGACTACATCTCGTTGGCCAAGACAAGGCTTGTTGACCTTAAGGCAAGTCTGCCCACTGCTCTTAGTACCCAGTGCCTGCCTTTGTATCCACATGTTTGTTTTTCCCCTTTGAAGGTTTCCGTAGAGAATATGGGACTCTACGAGGATTTGTCCTCCTCTGGGGACATGGCTGAGGTAATGTGCACTAGGCTTTTTCTTTCAGGCTACCAACCAGCTCCCAAATCATGACACAGAGACTTATTAGTTTGGAATGCTTGGCTTAGCTTAGGCTCATTTCTGGCTAGTTCTTTTAACTTAAATTAACCCATTTCTGTTTATCTACCTTTTGCCTTAGGGCTTTTTACTTTTCTTTCCTTCTGTGTATTTTTTTTTCACCACTTTTTTTTTGTTTTGTTTTGGTTTTGAGACAGGGTTTCTCTATGGCTTCGGAGGCTGTCCTGGAACTTGCTCTGTAGACCAGGCTGGTCTTGAACTCACAGAGATCCACCTGCCTCTGCCTCCCTTTCTTTTACTTCTTCTCATGTCTGCTGCCTGGGTGGCCTTGGCTGTCTCCTTCGTTCTCTCCTCTTTTCCTTCTCCTCTGTTGTTCCTTTTGAGCCTAGATTTCTCCTATTTATTCTCTCTGCCTGTCAGCCTCACCTATCCTTTCTCTGCCTAGCTATTGGCCATTCAGCTCTTTATTAAACCAATCAGGTGCCTTAGGCAGGCAAGGTGAAACAAATGCAACACATCTTTACGTAATTAAACAAATGCATCATAGAGAAAAGTAACACACCTTTACACAGTTAAAGTAATATTCGGAAGCATAAACAAATGTAACACGTCTTTGTCTAGTTAAATTAATATTCTACAGCAGTAATGAACATTGCTTTTGGTTGACCCACAGTCTTTGGTTCACTTGTCTTTTGACTTGAGTAATTTGGCCTTCAAAAACCTGTTTTCCTGAAAGTGTCTGTACTGTCCCTTGGAGCCTTTGTCTGACAACACTAGCTGAGGAGAGTAACCATGCTCAAAGATGGACCTGTGAGCAGTGGATTCTCCTCAGGATTTTTTAGTTTGCTCATCTTTTCATTAATTTTATTTTCTCATTTTCACTATACTTGCTTGTTTGCGTGTGCACATGCTCTGATGCATGTGCAGAAGTTAGAGGCTAGCTTGAGGGAATCAGCTCTCTCTTTTCACCTTGTAGACCTTGTAGGTCCCAAGGATTGAACGTAGGTTGGCAGCTTGCTGTAGCATCTTTACCTACTGGACCACCTTGCTGGCCCTTTTTTATTTTTCATTTTTCTATAATGTTGTCAGAGGAATGGGGCATGCGTGAATATGTGTGGAGGTCAGAGGGCAACTTGCGGAGTGTTTTCTCCTTCATGGGGATCCAGGGTCTCTGGTTCAGGTTTCCAAGGGACCTGCATGGCAGATGTTACCCACTGAGCCATTTGTCTCTCTCTGTTTCCTCCCATCCCCGTTTTCTTTGCGAGGGCTCATGTAGCTCAGGCTGGCTTTAAATTCCTCAGCCACCTCCTTCAGCCTCCTGTGTGCTTGGATTATAGACACTGTCACTGCACCTAGCTTTGACATTTCATAATTTATTTTGAAATCTCTAAGTTAAGTATTCGAGCTCACCTGGTAGCCTTCCTCCTCTCCTGGAAGAGCAACAGAGGAGAGGTAGAGAAAAGGCTTGTACCAGAGGAGTTAGGAGAATGGCACTGACTCTTGGAGCTGAGCAGACGCTAGGGCCCATGTGAGCCCACAAAGCAGGATCTGGGGGATTTGTGACTGTTTCAGGTTGCATGGTACCCACTTCACCTTTCACCTCTAAAATGTCCAAAACTCATGGCAGCAAGGAACAGCGGGTTGGTGTGGGTTTTTATGATTGCTTATTTGCTCTCAAGTCTTCTTTCTGTCTCGATCCCTCCCTATTTGGAACTAGCCTCAGAGCCAAGCGATCCAAGATGTTGAGAAGGCCATCGTGGTGTTTGAACAAACAGGGAAAATCCCAATGCCTGTCATGGAGGCCAGGTAGGAAGAGGCTGCTGCCGAGCGTCCTCTGGCTACAGCATACCCAGACATGGCCGTGCTGCCATTAGTATACTGTGACTCTTGAAGTCTGTCCTACTGTGATCACAAGGTCATATGGGGATGGAGCTGTCATATTCTGTCGTGGGAGACAGGAGTCAGTGTGAATGCTATGTCAAAGGTTCAGTCTTGAGGTGGCATAGAGTGAGGGTGGGTCTATGTCTTTTACTTTTTTTTCTTATTTTTTTTTTTTCCTTGCTGAGGACCAAACCCAGGGCCTTGCGCTTGCTAGGCAAGTGCTCTGCCACTGAGCTAAATCCCCAACCTCTACTTTTTTTTTCTTTTTTGTCATTTTTGTTTTGAGACAGAGTTTCATTGTGTAGCTTTGGCTGATCTGAAACACTTTATGTAGACCAGACTGGCTTCGAACTCATTGCCTGCCTCTGTCTCTTGGGTACTAAGATTAAAGGCATGTTCCACCATGTCAAGCCTGTGTTCATTTCTGTGACAGCATATAGTACCCTCACTCACTAAAATAGGCAATATATGTTACCTATCTGAAGCCATGTGGGAATGCAGGATTATTGACCCCCAGTTTAGCAACAGATTTTTAGTTAGTGCTTCCGGGGTGATCAATGTAGACCCAGCCTAGGGAATTGAGTAGCTTTATTGAATTCATTGTGATTCCTGAACATCTTGAACTTTGATTACTATCAGTGTTGGTGAACTGAGTCAAACTCATGAGGTTTTGAGATTGCTTCAAAGCAGAAAGCTCATGGTGGCCTCATTGCAACCCTCATAGCCTTAGATTAGCCTGGATTCCATGGCCAGTCCTGGGAAGGGTAAACACGGTCCAGATCTCATGGACCATAGGCTTGTTAGTAACGCAGGGTGGCTTTGCAAGACGCATCCTACAACAGTGAAGGGGGGCTGGGAAGACTTAAAAGCAAGATCAATCCCAGGCATGATAGTTCACATCTCTAATCCCAGCACTTCAGAGGCATAGGCAAGCAGATCTCTGTGGGCTTCAGGCCACCCTGGTCTACATAAATAGTTTCAGGCCAGCCAGAGATACTCAGTGAGATGCTTCCTCAAAACACATGATCAGTGTTAAAGTTCAGCCAGGTCTGGTGGTACCCACCTGCGATTTGGTGCCTGAGGGATAGAGACAGGTAGAGCAGGAGTTCAGGATTTTTGCCACATAGTGAGTTTGAGACTTTGTATCAGACTTTGTTTTGAAAAATGAAAGGAAACAAAAGTGACCCTTGAAATGAGAACTGCTGGGTTGCGAGTGACTCGATGGACGAAGCCTTCTCCTGTGTTCACTACAGTGTGTCTGCCTTTCTGTGCACAGCATATTCAGGAGGCCCTACTACCTGTCGCACTTCCTCCCCGCCCTGCTCAAACCTCGAGTGGTGAGTGCAAGCTCATCTTCCACCCACACCTCTGGGAGGTCCGTCCCCTGCCTGCTGCTCACATGATTGCTCTCTAAACAGCTCCCACGGGTTCCTGACTCCCGGATGGCCTTTATAGAGACCCTGAAGAGGTAAGCAGGACTTTGCAGAGGCTGCTCTTTGTTCAATGGGTTTTCCTTGTTTTAATTTTTTCCAATGAGTTTAATAGGGCAAAGAATTTGAGTTCTTTTGTAGATAAATTTACCATATGGGTTTACCAGGTGGGTTGTAGTGGTGCATACCTTTGATCCCAGCACTCAGAGGTAGAGGCAGATGGGTCACTGAGTTTTAAGTTAGTCTGGTCTACAGAGCAAGTTCCAGGTCAACCAGTGCTACACAGAGAAACCCTGTCTCAAAAAACCAAACAAACAAAAAAACAATCCCCTCCCCCCAAAAAAACATTCCTGAGATTCTTTTTATTTACATATTGTCATCTTTTTTTCTAATTTATTTAAAATAGGGGATCACCACATAGCTCTGTAGCTCTGACATGTGCCTATCTCTGACTCCTGAGTGCTGGTATTAAAGCATGTGCCATCACACTGGCCTTTATTTTTATTTATTTATTTTTTTGTTTGTTTGTTTTTTTCAAGACAGGGTTATTCTGTGTAGCCCTGGCTGACCTGGAACACAATCTATAGACCGCTTTAAAACACTTAATTAAATAGCATCCATGATTATTTACTTCAGTTGGCCATATACTAAAGTTGAAAAGATTAGCATGACCTCTGTGGAAGGATACCATGCAAATGTATTTTTACCAAAGCCCACAAGCCACCCATCTGTCGCTTGATCTGAATTTAATGTAGTTAATATACAAGACAAAATGGGCTTTATGCTACTGTCTAGTTCTCTCATGTACCTTGGAAGCATTTAGCATCTTGTAAAATGAATTGGGTACCCTCTTTCTGTTTGTTGGTTGAATCAAAGATTCTGCTCTGTTGTAGTTTGGCAGAGTGTGGTATAAAAACCTTTCCTGCTGACATTTGCAGTCATGGACTCTGGCTATGGACTCAGCTTTGTGAATTACTGTTCGTTCCCTGCCTTTTCCCTTCCTCCCTTCCTCCCTCTCTTCCTGTCTTCCTCTCTCCCTCCCTCCCTCTCTTCCTCCATCCTTGCCTCCCTCCCTCCCTCTCCCTGTGCCCCCTCCCCCTCTGGTCTGTTTCCATGTAACTTTTATTTCAGACTGGGCTTGGAGGTGCATCTAATCCTTAGTAGTAGAGGCAGGAAGTAGAGATTGGCTGTCTGATCTCTTCTGCATTTAAGGATAGGATGGTGTGAATAACAGGTTCTCGATCAGCAAGGGCTACACAGTGAGACATTTTCTCATCAAAACAAAACAACTAAAATTTTTTTTCATTTCATCTAGTGGTTTTATGTTTTTTTTCTTGTGGTGCTGGGAATAGAATCCAGGGCCCCGATAGGAAGTAGGACTGTCTATGTGTTTGTCGTGGCACTGGCGGCAGCCACCTGGCAGCATGGAAAGGACTGTCACACCTACTCAGACGTCTCACTTTGCAACACACGGCTCTGGAATGGCTCTGGAAATGCACTCAGAAACACTCAGCACAATTATTCTCATGGTGCAAAATTCAGATTGGAGGCTGTGCTCCAAAGTAAAAAACCCAATTGACAGGCCAGAACCATTGTAAGAGAAGCAGTCTGAAAATTAATCACACAGACTGCTGGGTGTCACCTGAATATTCTAATGATTTTTTTTTTAATTAGCACTGGGCTGTAGAGATGGCTCAGTGATTAAGAGCACTGGCTGTTCTTCCAGAGGACCTGGGTTCAAGTCCCAGCACTGACATGGCAGCTCACAACTGTCACTCTAATTCCAGGGGATCTGAAACCTTCACACCAATGCACATAAGAAATTATTATTATTATTATTATTATTTTTGGTTTTTCGAGAGAGGGTTTCTCTGTGGCTTTGGAGGCTGTCCTGAAACTAGTTCTTGTAGACCAGGCTGGTCTCAAACTCACAGAGATCCGCCTAGCTCTGCCTCCTGAGTGCTGGGATTAAAGGCATGCGCCACCACCGCCCGGCCAATAAATTATTAAAATTAGCATTTAGTATTTATTACTAGTACATGACATGTTATAAAATCATAAGTACCACTTAAATCTATATATACCTTTAAAATCATAAATGTGATTTGTTTTCTTCTAAAACTAATAAGTGGCTAGAGGTGTAGTTCTATGGTAGAGTGTTTGCCTACTGGGCCTAATCCCCAGCACTGAAAAAAGGAATAAACACAAAACAATACAATATGTACTGGTGTAATGGCTTTGGAATTAGAAACCTAAACCCTGTCATAGTTGACGTTGGCATTGCTTTCTTTTTATCTAGAGCAGATAAGATTCCCTCATCAGTATATGATGCCTACTGCCAAGCCTGTGCCGCTGCTGAGGAGAAGCAGCCCGAAGGTAAGGCTCTGGTCTCCTTGTGCTCCTATGCTTTCTATCTCTGTAATGAGTCTGTCACCAGCACCTGCATTGCCATCCTCAGTGGTCAGGTTGTTCTTAACTCACCCAGGCACCCAGGGACCAAACAATGTGTTACCAGCTCAGGGTTATTGTCTTGGAGGCCTTGAAAGTTTATCGCCTTCCAACCTCCTGGGAAGCATGAGGTAGAAACCCGCCTCTATATTTGGAATCTTTACATGTAGCTCAAGGCCTGCAGCATAGTACAGTCAGGTATGATTATTTTCTAACTGGACAATTTGGTTTGTAGCAGGTTGCAGGGTTTTTTGTTTTGTTTTTATATTTTATTTTATGTGTGTGGGTGTTCTTGCCTGTATGTAAGTCTGTGCATTGTGTGTTCGACTGGTGTGTTCAGAGGCCAGAAGCAGGGGTTGGATCTCCTGAAACTGGAGTTACAGGCAGTTGTGAGCCACCATGTGAACTCTAGAAACCCAGCAGCTAGTGTTTAACCACTGAGCCATCTGTCCAACCCTGGACTGGGGATCTCTGTACATGACAGCAGTGATAGATCTTGTTAACTCTGGGAAGCTGTGATCAAGGAGCCGCCATCCGTGCAGTGTGTGTCTAGCATGTCCTATCTGTCCCATTCTTCAGTGCCATGTGGCTCTGACAGCTAGCATGACAACAGTGAGAGGAGCACGTTTTCAATTATTTATTAATTTCCTTACTTTACAAGGGTCTCTTGTATCCTTGGCTAGCCTTAAACTCTCTATGTAGCTGAGAATGACCTTGAACTTCTGAGCTTCCTGCCTCTACCTCCCAAGTGCTGGGATTCCAGGCATGTGCAGCCATATTTTTTTTGTTGTTGTAAGCCTAGCCTTTAACGGCTGAGCTATCCCTCCAGCCCTTGCAACCATATTTTTATGTGTAGTACTGGTGTGGAACCCAGGACTCTGTGCATGTTGGGCAAGCATTCTACCACCTGAGTAACTGAGTCACATCACGATTTCTGTTTGTTTTTTACTAATCTATATCAATCATACAAAATACTGGGATTCGTTATGACATTCTCATATGTCATAATATATACATATATATATATTATGTATAATGTACATATAATACATATATATGTAATATATAATACATACATAATGTACTTTGAATCATATGTCACTCCTCATTACTCTCTTGTCCACTCCTATCCCATTGGTCCTCTTCCTCTTTCCAAATAGCCTTATTTTAACTTTGGTTCATTTTTTTAAAATCTAGATGCTGCATATGAAAGAAAAGATGTGATATTTGCTTTTTAATTACATTTATTGTTGGGGGTGGGGTGGCTGTGTGTGTGTGTGTGTACCAAACACATAGGTGGAGATCTAAGGACAAATTGTGGGTTCTTGCTTTCTACCTACCTTCTGAACCCCTGGGATCAAATTTGGGTTATCAGGGTTGGCAGCAGGCATCTTTACCAGTGAGCTCTGCAGCCTCATGTTTTCATTTTTTTAGGGCAGAGTCTAATGTAGCCTATTCTGGCCATTGAGGGGGTCCTTGACCTCTAAGTGCTAAGGTCATAGGCGTATGCCACTACACTGGGTTGATATTTGTCTTTCTGAGTCTGGCTTATTTTGATTAACATAATAATCTCCAGTTTCATCCGTTTTCTTACAGATGATACAATTTTATTCATTATAGACAAGAACTCTTGTGTATATACTATATTCTCCTTATTCACCTATCCATTGATAACTATGCTGAGCCTATAATTTGACTTTTGTGAGTGCCACAGGAAAACAATGGGTGTTCACTCCTTTGGATGTATATCCAGGAGTGTACAGCTGGACTGTGCACTTATAGTTCTATTTTTAGTTTTGTTATTTTATGTTTGCTTGTTTGTTTGTTTTCGAGACAGGATTTCTCTGTATAGTCCTGAAACTCACAGAGATCCTCCTGCCTCTGCCTCCCGAGTAGTGGGATTAAAGCTGTGCAGTTCTTTTTGTACTTTTACCCTTTTCTTTTTCCCTTCCTTTTTCTTTTCTTTTTTAAGATTTATTTATGTACACATGCCTGTATATATGCCTGCACAACAGAAGAGGGCACCAGATCTTATTACAGATGTGGTTGCTGGGAACTGAACTCAGGACCCCCTAGAAGAGCAGCAGCCAATGCTCTTAGCCTCTGAACCATCTCTCCAGGCCCCTTTTCCCCACTTCTTTACTGGATTGTTTTGCTTTTGGTGTGTAATTGAGTTTATATATTCCGAATATTATTCCCCAGTAATATGAATAGCTGGCAAAGATTTTCTCCCATTCTGCAGCCTGTTTGCTTTGTTCTGCCAGAGTTTTTCAATTTGAAGCAATCCTATTGGTCAGTTCTTGCTATTCGTTCCTATTGAGAAAGCCGCCTGTGCTTATGTGTGTTTCAGGTCTTAAAGTAAGGGCTTTAGTCCACTGTTAATTTATCTACTTGATCTAAACATGACGAGAGGAATAGTGTTCTAAAAAATTTCTGTCTTCTACTTATGATTATTGAGTTTTCCAAAACACTATTTGTTAACCTTTTTTCCCCAGTATATGTTTCTGGCACCTTTGCTGCATGATTTTGTTTTTTTTCTGGGTCCTCTATTCCATCGGTATACATACCTATCCTTGGGCTAACAACATGCTGCTTTTGCTACTGTGACTCATGTATAATTTCAACAGATACTGTGATACCGCCTGCATTGTTCTTTTTGCTCAGGATTCTTTTGGTTGTCTTGAAATCTTGATCTTCTGAGACTGTCATTGTTTTAAAGGTGCCATAGAGGCTGTGAAAGTGTGTCTGTGTGGTGCAGTGTGTGTATGGAGGTCAGAGACAACTTGTGGGAGCTGGTTCTAGATTCTGGGAATCTAGCTCAGATTTTCAAGCTTGACAACAGGCCCTTTCCCTTCTGAGTCAACTTACTGACTCTTGTTTTTCTTTCAAAATATGTGGTAGATCTTCCTTTATATAACTAGAATGGCATATGTGTTAGGGCTTTTGAACCAGAGCCTATTGCAAATATGAGGCTTCTTGCTGTGAGCTAAAGGCTAAAACTTCTCTCCAGCACTAACTCTTAGTGTTTCTTCACATCCTGTTATAAAGAGAATATAGCCATGTTACTTGAAAGTTTGGGAAATGAATAAATTATTATGCATCAGTGATTCTGACCCTGTCCCCAAGCAGTCACCCAGGCTGTGCAGCTGTTTCTCATTATATATTTTTTCCACAGTTATATATCACATTTTTTGTAAGTTTTTTAAATTTTATTTTATTTTCTGTGCACAGGTGTTTTACTTGTATGTGTTTGGTGCCCTCAGAGGCCAGAAGAGGGCATCAGATTCCCAGAGACTGAAGTTACAGGTCATTGTGAGCCAAAGCATGGGTGCTAGGACTCAAACCTGGGTTCTCTGGAAGAGCAGGTGGTGCTCTTCATCCCTGAGCTATCTCTCCAGGCGCTCTCTTGCTCTTCACGCTCTCTCTCTCTCTCTCTCTCTCTCTCTCTCTCTCTCTCTCTCTCTCTCTCTCTCTCTGTGTGTGTGTCTGTCTGTCTGTCTGTCTGTCTGTGTCTCTTTCGGTCTCTCTGTCTCTCTTCCTTAAACCTGTTTATATTTTTTCTTTTTAGTGTATGTTATACCGGGTGGTGGTGCACTCCTTTAATCTTAGCACTCAGGAGAAGAGGCAGGTGGATCTCTGTGAGTTTGAGGCCAGCAGAGAAAGTTTCCAGACAGCTAGAGCTATACAGAGAAACCCTGTCTCAGAAAACAAAACAAAAACAACAACAAAAAGTATATTGCTGGGAATTAAACCTAGTGCCTTGTATATTATAGGCACATATTGTGCTGTCGAGTGACATCTCCAGTCTCAGGGTTTTATTTTTGCTATTGCATTATCCAGCGTCAAAAGGAGAGCCTCCCAGAGACTGAGTGCTGTCCACACAAAGCGGTACATATCAGCATTTCCCCAAGTGCACGAGGTTTTTCTATTTGTAATAAATAATCCCACTGAGTGTGATTACCATTAGCCTAATCTTTAATGTCCTCCCCTGGTTCAGATGCCACCCCAGGAAAAAGGACAAAGCCTGACTGTGCTGAACAGCCCCTGGGACTGCTCAAAGCTGCACTTGAAGAGCTCAGAGCTTTGATGACAGACCCCATCCAGTATGATGGTAAGAAAGGGAGATGGGGCTGTGTGGGGTAGAGTGTTTGTGTTCTGGATACATGCGTGTAGCCATAGTGACAGAGGCTGGCCTGTCATTCCTGTAGCTCAGCATTTGCCAGATGAACCTGCCCACAGCCTAGACTAAGTGAGGGTCAGAAGATGGGGATAACCTCACTGTACTGTCACACTCCCTAGACAGGAGGTGGGTCATCTCGTTTGTATTGCAATAAGACAGATGGTGGAGAAGAAGCAAACTGAAGTTCGTAAGCACAGATTCTTACTGTCTCAGTAGACACAACATCAAGCACCTTGGAGGTTTCCCTCTTTGTTTCTGCTCCTGAGCATTTTGTGAGACACTCAGTCCAGATGGCCACCTGTGCGGTTCAAAGCACTGGCTTGCACAGCAGTCCATGGCATCAGTAACAAACTTGCAGTGCTCCCAAAGTTTTCATTTTAATGGATGTACAATTTAAAGTAAATTCACCACAGGTTTTACTGGGTGCGCTAGTCTAGTTTCTGTTGCTGTTAAAAACAAAAAAGAAAGCTGGCAGTGATAGCGCATCCCTTTAATCCCAGTACTCGGGAGGCAGAGGTAGGCGGATCTCTGTGAGTTCGAGGCCAGCCTGGTCTACAGAGCGAGTTCCAGGACAGCCTCCAAAACAATACAGAGAAACCCTGTCTCGAAAAACCAAAAAAGAAGAAAAGAAAAAATCAAAACCTAACAAACAAACAAACATGACAAATCCAACAACAAAAACTGCTTGAATTGGGGTTGGATAGGAGGCTCAACAGTTAGAGGATCTGGCATCCATATCAGGTAACTTACCTGCAACTCCAACATCGGGTGATCAACAGTCTCTTCTGGATTCCAGGCATCATCACTCCCATGCACATATCCACACAGAGCACACATTCATACACATAATTAAAAATAATTGAAAACAAAAACTCTGAATCCTCCATTGTATGACGGCCCACATCCAAACCCAAAATCTATTTTTATGCACGATAGATTTTTTTTTTTTTGGTTTTTCGAGACAGGGTTTCTCTGTGGCTTTGGAGGCTGTCCTGGAACTCCCTTGGTAGTCCAGGCTGGTCTCGAACTCACAGAGATCCGCCTGCCTCTGCCTCCCTAGTGCTGGGATTAAAGGCGTGTGCCACCAATGCCCGGCCGCACGATAGATTTTTACCTTACCGTGGATTAATTTTTATAGAAGCCAAGACAGCCTCGCAGGGAGGCATTAGCTAACTTGTGCATTGCCACAGCTTTGCTGAGGCTGTGGATCCTTGACACACCCTTCAGGCCAGGTATCCAGGCGTCAGAGCACAACTTCCTAGGCTGCTTTCGTAAATGTGCTGTGTATGGCTTTGTGTGTGCACATGCATATGGGCTCCTGCTCTGTTGCCCATGCTGGCCTTAATCTCAGCCTCCCAAGTGCTGGAACTTAGTCCTTCACCACTGCTTCCAGCTCAGGACATAGCATGTGTGGAGCATTAGGAAGAGTTCCAGGGCGTAAGCAAAAGAAGAATGGATGACAAAGCAACAGAGGTTTGCATGCTTGAGTCCCAAGGCCTTTGCAGTGATCCTATCTTCAGTCTATGAGGTTTTGTGCTTAGACAGATAGAAGTGTCACCTTAGACAGGCTGTGGTTGCTGCAGTGTGTCCATCCTTCCTTCCATTCAGAGGCGGCTCCACGTTGCGGGGCAGCCGCTCGGCCAGCACTCTCTAGTAGCCTACAAGGCCGCGCACTTCATGTTGTCCCTTCCCAGCTTGCTCCTGATGTAGCTGGCTTCTCTGTTTGCAGTTATATCTGCTCAGGTGGCTGCGATCTCTGAAAGACTGAATGCTGCTGTGGGTCACAGTAACGATGACGGCAGCCTCGGGAGATCAAAGATTCAACTCAGTGTCCTTACTCCCACTCTCCAGACACAGGACCAGGCGGTATGTCTGTGAGGACCCGGCTGTGGCCCCTTCTTAGATTATAGAAAAAGTATGCAGTTAGATGTTGAGCACGCAGGCACTGGCTATGCCACACTTGACCAGCCTCCCTTGCCTGTTTGTGTTTAAAGGTGTTCTTTCTTGTTTAGAAGTTTTTTTGAGACAGGGTCTCATGTAGCCCAGCTGGCCGAGGCTGACCCTGAATTCCTGCTCTCCATCTCCACATCCCAAGTGCTGGGATTGCAGGTGTGCGCCACCAGCTTGTTTTTCATTTAAAGAAGCCCAGTGGCAAAGGCTATTTTTAACTTCAAAGCCCATAGTATTTACTCTTTTGCCCTTTACCATCAAGGTTTACCTATCTTCTCACCAGGCACTTTCATGTTCCCAGCTGTGTGGTAACACACTGGTTCAGTCCAGCAATTTGGTGCCAACTTGCATTGTAGCTTTCTTTCTAAAGGCTAGCTGGCAGCCTGAATTTGATCCCCACTTCCTGTGAGGTGGTAGCAGAGAACTGATTCCTGAAAGTTGTCCTCTGACCTCCGTACACATATTCACAGCATAAAATAAACTGAACATTAAGTGTAGCTCTCACTATGGTTCTTTTTGCATAGGCAGCTTCCTGTCACTCTCAGATATAGGAGGCCAGAGCCTCACAGTGCTGTGTCTCTTCCCAGGTTGTGGATCTCCTGCTCACAGCCTTCTGTCAGAACCTAATGGTGGCCTCTAGCTTTGTGCCCCCGGAGAGGTACGGCTGATTTCCATCTGTCCTAGGGTGCTGAGACCAAGCAGGGCAAGCTCTGTTTCAAGAATGGATGACTGGGCTGAGCTTTGTCGGATAGAGACTGAATGAAGACTGTCTATGCTGTGTAAAGGCCACTGTTTGGAAGAAGCCTGGCCCTTTTATAGACCTCCATGCCTGGACTGGTTGTAGAAGGGATGTACAGGGCTGTGACCAGCCAGTGAGTTGTTCTCTGTCTTTGCAGGCAGAGCCCCTGGGCTGTCCTTTTCGTGAGGACCCTTTGTGGACACATGCTTATCCCTGCGGTGCTCACTCGGCTCTGCCAGCTGCTCTACCACCAGGTAAGCTCCTGCATCCTGCAGGTCACTTCTCAAGCTGCTGTGAGCCTCGGCCGATGCTAACTTCTGCTTTTCAGTGATTTTTGAGCCTTCTAGTTAGACTATCATTAACTTTGTCCTTATTTCAGGGTCCAAGCCTGAGTACCCCTCATGTACTGGGGTTAGCTGCTCTCGCCGTACATCTGGGCGAGTGTAGGTCCATGCTTCCAGAGGTGGATCCAGGTGTTCTTGCACCTGCTGGCAGCCTTTGTGTCCCTGAGTTATTGAACAGCCTCCTGACCTGCCGTACAAGGGAATCTCTGCTATTCTGCTTGAAGTAAGCCGTTCCTGAGTTCCTCAGCTGTTGCTTTCTCCTCTTGAAAAGTAACAGATACTCAGCAAATAAGATTGAGAGACCATGTGACTGAAGAGACGGCTCAGTGATTAAGAACACTGGCTGATCTTGAAGACCCAGGTTCTAGTCCAATACCCACCTATCATCTCACTATTTCCAACTGCGGTTCTAGAGAATCTGACTCCCTCTTCTGGCCTCTATGAGCATTGCATGTGCTTGGTGCACAGTCATCTCTATGCAGGCAAAACATACATACACATAAAAGAAAAATAAAATTACCAAAAATTACCAAAAATTAAAAAATATATATATGAGAGGCCAGGGATGGGGTGTTGTGGGTGATAGAGTCTGTGCTGAGCTTGAATGAGGCCAATCCTAAGTTTGGAACCTAGGTACTAGGTTCAGTTCCTAGTTCCTAAAGTAGAAAGAGGTGCAGAAAATTAGTCACCCAAGAATCATCCCATAATATTCTAGATTTTTATTTTATTTAATAGTTATTTGTTTTATTTAACAGGTATCTATGTTTGTGCTTTAGGGAACCACTGAAGTTGAAAAGTTGTTACTAATATTAACACTACTATAAACATCTTTCAGCAATACCCTTGCTATGCTGTGGTGGAGCCTGTTTGGCTGTCTTGGGAAATTTCGTGTGGGCTTTGAAGGATGAAAATGTATAAAATGGCAGCCTCTCTAAATAAAATAATTCTTTGGGAAAAATCCCCGCCACTGTGGAACCATATAACGTGGTAGCTGCCTACTCCCATACAAATTAATACCAAGCTGCTAGAAAGTTTAGATAAGTAACATATGCTTGATAAATAAGGTATATTTGGTAATTAAGATTTATAAGTTCCAGGGCTGGAGAGATAGCTCAGCAGTTAAGAAATCTGGCTGCCGCTGGGCGATAGTGGCACACTCACCTTTAATCCCAGCACTTGGGAGGCAGAGGCAGGCAGATCTCTGTGAGTTTGAGACCAGCCTGGTCTACAAGAGCTAGTTCCAGGACAGTCTCCAAAGCCGCAGAGAAACCCTGTCTCAAGAAACAAACAAACAACAAAAAAAAAAAGAATACTGGCTGCTCTAACAGAGGACCCAGGTTCAGTTCCCAGCACCCACATGGCAGCTCCCAAGTATCTGTAACTCCAGTTCCAGGGGATCTGACACCCTCTCATAGACATGCATGCAGGCAAAACACCAGTGCACATGAAATTAATTAACTAATTAAAGATTTATAAATCCCTAAGCTCTACTCAGGCTCACAATAATATTTGTCTAGCCTCATCTTTGCTCACTTTTAAACTTTTAACTATTTGTATAAACTAAGCCACACAAAAACTGCAATATTCTATAATAGTCTGCTTCCCCAAGAAAGTCCTTTCCCCATGGTCAGGTATTCTCTGTTCCATGTAGTCTTTTGCTTCGGCACACAACGTTGGAGCGGGTCAGGTCTCCTAGAGGCTGTACTCACAGATACTGTTTTCTCCCTACATTCTTCCTGTAGTACTCTTTCACAGAATAACACTAGTGCTGCTCACCTGAGCTAGAGGTGCCTGCACCAGCCTTCCTGTCTGTGCCCTTCATTGAATGACCTGGCCCCTGACTGATCCCAGATCCAGGCAATGTGTTTCATTCCTTTTGTGACAAATCCAGTGACTGTGCCTTTGCTCACGTGTCCTTGTGTCAGTCATTGTGGATGTGAGCTTTTGGAGGTAGCACTTCCCTCTCAGGAGACACTGAGCCTGAAACCAGAGTAGCCCAACAGTTCTTTCAGTTGAGGAGCGATGCTCAGGTCGTCTAGTTTGGAGCACACTGAAGTCAGCTTGGTGAATTCAGCCTCCGTTTCCTTCACTGCAGATTCTGCACAGCCGCGATTTCTTACTGTTTATGCAAGTTCTCTGCGCAGCCCCACGCTGCCTTGCGCAACTGTTTGTCTCCAGGCCTGATCAGAAGGGTATGTGTCTCAGGTCCCTGCTTTTGATCTGAAGGTGTCTGGCTTCTGCAGCATTCTTGTGTTTCTCTCAGTGCATGGTGCACGGCTGTCTCTGGGGAGATTTTCATGCTGAATGCTGCTCTTACATTTCTTTCTGGGTTTAAATTGTGGCTGAGATGACAGCTGTTAAGTATATGCTACTCTTTTGAATAGATATTGATGTTTATAGCACAAGTAAGTTAAAAGATAAGAATTCATTTAAAAAAAGTCTTTCCCCTTAAACCACAGTTATCCCTCTGTTTGGTATTGTTTTGGGAGGTTTGTTTGCTTGGCCAGTTGGATGGGGCTTTTTTGTTTTGTTTTGTTTTGAATTCTGGGATCAAACTTAGAGTCTCACATGTACTAAGCAAGTGCCCTACCACCAAGTTACTGCCTCAGACCTCCTTCTAGAATTTTGCTGAGCACCTCTTGTATATGAACCATTGAATTTTAACTGTAGGCTTCATATTAGAAATAAAAGAGAAAACATCTTTGAGATGCTGAAGCAGGAGGATTTGTGAAAGTTTTTTTGTTTATTTGTTGTCAAGATTTATTTTACTTGTGTGAGGGTGGAGAATACAGGTTAGGCCAGTAGAGGCCAGAGGAGGGCTTCAGAATTTCTTGAGCTAGAGTTACAGGCAGTTATGAGTCACCAAACATGGGGCCTAGGAACTGTACTCTGGTTCTTATGATAGTGCGGAGATAGCCAAGCATAGTGGCATACACCTTTAATCTCTGTACTCGGGAGGCAGAGGCAGGTGGATCTCTCCAGCTTGAAGGTAGCTTGATTTCCAGGAGTTTCAGAACAGCCAGGGCTACACAAAGAAACCCTGCACCCCCCCCCCAAAAAATACAGCAGGAAGCAACCTTAACCACTAAGCCATCCCTCTCAAAATAAAATAAAACACACACACACACTAGAGACTAGCAAGATGACTCAGTGGATAAAGGTGCTTGCTACCAAGTTTGGGGAACTGAGTCCAATCCCTGAAACCTGTATGTTGGAAAGAGAGAGCTAAGTCCCACAAGAACTAACTCTGACCTCCACACATGCCTCTTATACACATATACACGATAAGTAAATGTAAGTAAAAAATGAATAAATAAATGGGGGGGTTGGAAAGATGGGTTAGTTAAGAGCACTTGCTGCTCCATCATAAGGATTGGAGGTTGGATCCTAGCACCTACAAATGCCTTCCATAATTCCAATTCCAAAAATCCAACCCGCCCTTCTGGCCTCTGGATACTTGTACAAACACACAAAATAAAAATGAAAATCTTAGCGGGGCGTTGGTGGCGCACGCCTTTAATCCCAGCACTCGGGAGGCAGAGGCAGGTGGATCTCTGTGAGTTCGAGGCCAGGCTGGACCAACAGCCTCCAAAACAGAGAAACCCTGTCTCGTAAAACCAAAAAAAAAAAAAAAGAAAGAAAATCTTAAAAAAAAAATAGGGCTGGTGGTGTAGCTCAGTTAGTTGAATGCTTGCCTAACCAAAAGCCCTAAATTTGATCCTCAGCACTATATAAAACAGATGTGGCACACCCTGTAATCCCAGCACCCTTGGCTTATGTAGCAGAGTTGAGGCCAGCCTGGGCTTCATAAACCCCTGTCTCTAAATAATAAAATAATAAAAAAGAGTCATCAGGGAAACTTTTGAAAAGTCTATAGTTACAGGCCCTGCCCAGATAAATCAGAACCAGAGCATCCAGGGAATCTAGGCTACATTCATGCTTTGAGGGACCTTGTCCTAAGGCCTGTCTGGAGACTGGAGACCCAGAATGGTCTCCAGCAAAGACTGGGCACTTGAATAGCCTAGTTCTTGTTAACTGTGGGCCGAGAGTCCTATCTGTAGCCCTCATTAGCAAGAAATGCTAGTAACACGTCGTTGATGAGACATTTTTCTGGTCTAGTTGGTGTGGTTCTAAATGAATACTATTGGCCACACTAGGGGAACAGGCCTTTCTCGCTGCTGCAGGGCTAACTCGTGGAGGGCGGCGTAGATCCAGCACTCTACTTTAGGAATGCTGGTTAGGCATACCTAAGAGCCTCTCCCAGAAGCCACTCTCTCCTCTCAGTAAAACACCCACCCCAGATTTCACCAGAAAGGCCAGGGCTTAGGAACCCCCCAAGGAGAAGTGCCTTGCCTCCCCTGTCCCTTCCTCCCCTGCTCACTGAGATGCTGTGTATGTAAGGGCTGGTTTTGGTCCTCCAGAGGGTGACAGATAGGTCTCCTGGTTGGTTCTCTGGGTGTGTCCTTGTGATTGCTTCCTTCTCTCACTGAATTTGTCGCTGTCTGTTTCAGTTTCAGTTCATTGTGTTAAGAGTGTTCTCAGAGGCCAGAGCACCTTGTCCTCCAGAGCCCACAGCTTCCCTCTCCTGGAGACCCTTGTACCTTCCTTCTGCAGACTGGCAGAGTGCTGCACTCTCTCTGTGGAGATGGAACAGTTTCCAAGAACTGTTGAAGGAGAAGGAATTTTATGTAGGTCTCCATGTCTTCCATTATGTCACATGTCCTGGGTGTGTGTGTGTGTGTGTGTGTGTGTGTGTGTGTGTGTGTGTGTGTGTGTGTGTGTGTGTGTGTATGTGTGTTTGGGAGGTGGAAAAAACCTGACTCTAGCCAGGCGGTGGTGGAGCACGCCTTTAATCCCAGCACTCGGGAGGCAGAGGCAGGCGGATCTCCGTGAGTTCGAGGCCGGGCTGGACCGACAGCCTCCAAAACAATACAGAGAAACCCTGTCTCGTAAAACCAAAAAAAAAAAAAAAAAAAAAAAAAAAAAACCTGACTCTAGGCATGTGTATAAGAGAGTTCTATGTCTCCTGAGAGGCCAGAGCAATACTTGGTTGAATCGAATCTTTACTGCGGTCACTGAAGCTGTAAGGGGCTCCAAAAAAATCTTGCTGTGCTTGCTCTCCCAGCAGCAGGGATTCTTCATGGCAGTCCTGGCATGGGCTTCGGTGTCTCTGTGCCTCTAGCTTATGCCCCTCAACTGGAACCTGGACGATTCGCATGAACTGACCAGGCCCCTTATTTCCTAACGTGTTTGCCTAGTTTAGGGAAAATCGTTGTGTCACCTTTTTGTGGTTTAGCTACATAAGGGTAGGTGTGGTACCGAAACCAGTATGAGAAAAGGTGAAGCAGCAGAGAGCCAGCAACCCACTAGTGACTTGGGGGACATGTCATCAGCTCTTCAGAGAGCCCTGTCACGTCTTAGGACATTTGCAGTCTTGCTTCCTGGTTACATTGTATCTGTCTGCCTTGAACTTTGTCCAAGTGGGAGTGTGTGGAGGGATGGTCTGTTATGTGGGTTTTTTTATGCAAAGTGAGATTTTTGAGATTAGGGCACACTTCTATGTGAGGTTGCTTTAAGAATTTTCATAAGAAGAAAAATAAAAGATGCCATTAATACAGAGAAACCTTGTCTCAGAAAAATAAAATAAAAAGATGCCATGAATATTTGAAGCAGATTGATACATCAGGGTTTGGGGGAGCTGTTTGTTTGAGTTGCTTGTTGGTTGTGTTTTAGGCAGGGTCTCACTGTAGCCCTGGCTGGCCTAGAACTCCCTATGTAGTAGAATAGGCTGGCCTCAAACTTGCAGAGATATGCTTGCCTTTGCCTTGAGTGCTGAGAATAAATACCCAGTTTATACCAAGGTTTATAGCAAGGTTTATCCCCCCCAACTCCTGCCCTATAAAATAATTTATTTTCTTCTCACATAATAATTTAACCAGAACAGGTTAATTGATTAAAAGTAGGTAACATGCTAGTTAAAAGACCAGTTTGGCCAGGTGTGGTGATATATGCATGTAATCTCAGCACTTGGGAATTGAAGCAAGAGAGTAGTTTTAATTTCATATTCAGAGCTTGTACACAATATGTTTCCACAGTTCATCTGCTCTCCATTTCATTACAGCACAGAGCACAGATCTCTGTAAGATAAAATGGCAAACACTTGTAAGCAGTGTGAGTTTTGTGTTTCATCCTGAATGTTTCTATCGCTCAGTTAACTTACAGAGATTGGGTACAGCTGGAATTGGAAATTCAACCTGAAGTTGATGTTCTCTCGGATACAGAAAGGTAAGAGCTCAAGGGGAGCTGACCCCTGAATATCGTCATAGGCTTCTCATACAGCCATCTTAAGTGTGATGTTCAAGTTAACTGGGTCAACAACTTTAGTCATTCACTTTTTATTGAAAAGCATTGAGTTTCCACCACATGCCAGACATTTCTAGAATGTCCCAGAAGCTGAAGTAACAAAGTAACAGAGACACCTACCTATAAGGCACCTTTGTTCAGAAAGACAAGGTCTCTGCAGGGGACCCTATACCTACCAGAGTCCATGTTCAGAAGTGTATACATTCTGTGCACTTTGGTTAAACCATAGGTAGACACAATGAATGATCTGAGGCTACAAGGTAAGCCCTGTAAGAGCCAGTTACCATACTGAGATAGTAGAGCAGGTGTTTGTTGTGAGGCAATAGGGGTATATGGGAGAGCAGGCTCCACAGAGTGCCTTCATATGAACACCAGAAACTGAGTACATCGTGACTAGGTTTTTTGTTTGTTTGTTTGTTTGTTTGAGGCCTCATTATAACCTCACTTTTTAAAAAAATGACTTATTTATGTTTATGGTGTACCGTGTGTGTGTCTGGTGACTATAGAGGTCATAGGTGGCAGATCCTTTGGAAATGAAGTTCCAGGTGGATGTTAACTGCCATGTCAGTGCTGGGGAAAGAGCCTGGGACCTTTGCAAGAACATCTAGTGCTCTTAAGAGCTGAGCTATCACATCAGCCTCTACAACCTCACTTTTTAGCCCTCTGGGTCACTGTTACCTTGAGATTATACTTAGTTGCCTGCTCCAGTTACTGGATCCACTGATAGTCAGCAATCACCTAGCTGCCACTTTGCCCAGTCACTGGAACTGGGTATTCCTCTTTTTTTGGGGGGGTTGGGGAGGCCGGGGTTGAGACAGGGTTTCTCTGTGTAGCCCAGGCTGTCCTGCAACTCACTCTGTAGACCAGGCTGACCTCAGATTCGGAGATCTGCCTGCTTCTGCTGGGATTGCAATCCCAAGGTTAGCATTAAAGTCGTGTGCTACCATGCCCCAGCTTGTGTGTTCCTCTCACGGAGCCCACTTCGGGATGTTAAGGACCCCTGCTTATAAAGTGTTCCTCGCCCGGCGGTGGTGACGCACGCCTTTAATCCCAGCACTCGGGAGGCAGAGGCAGGCAGATCTCTGTGAGTTCGAGGCTGGGCTGGACCGACAACCTCCAAAACAATACAGAGAAACCCTGACTCGTAAAAACCAAAAATAAATAAATAAATAAATAAATAAATAAATAAAGTGTTCCTCAGAGCTGACCTCAGTGTTTCACTGCTGCAGACATGACTTCCACCAGTGGGCGATCTATGAACACTTCTTGCCAGCACCATCTGCTCTAGGAGGCTGCGATGGAAACGTGGAAGCGGCGTACACAGTCCTTGTCAGTGAGGTGATGAACTTCTACCAAAGGTTAGCCACGAAGCACTCAAAAACTCCTGCTTAATAGCACAGATAGATACAGCTCGAATAAGCCCGCAGTTGTCATAGGTGGTTTTCTGTTCCTTGCTTATTTCAGTGAGCAAAGTAATATTACTTTAAGGCTGAATAATGCCATTGAACAATATATGTCATCTTTTTAATCCATTCTTCCATTGGTGGACATTTGGGTGGTTTCTGCTTTTTGGCTATTAAATAACATTGCTATGAACATTTGTGTATAGGTTTTTGTGGAGCCCTGAGCTATTGTTTTTCTTGGGCATGTGCATGGGAGTGGACTTGAGGGATAAGAATACTTTCTTCCTTTCTTTCAAAGTGTTTTCACAAACTGGCTCTACCATTTAACATCTACCTGCAGTAGAGAGGATTTGACGTACCCTGCACCATGACCAACATTGTTCCTTTCTGACTGCAGTAATAGCCATTCTAGGAGTATGAAGTGCTATTTCACTGTGGTTTAGAGCTTTTTGTTGTTGTTATTGTCTTGTTTTTTCATGGATCATTTAGAGAAATATCTATTAGAATCCTTTCCCTGCCCTTCCCCCATCCCATCTATCTTTTTGCCACTAGAGATCAAACCCAGGGCCCCAGACAGGCTAGAAAAGTACCCTGCCTCTGAGAACACCCCCAATCCCTTTTAAGTTGGGCCATCTTATTGAGTTGTAGGAGTTCTTTATGTACCCTAGACACTTAGCTTATTTAGGTTTTAACTTCTTTTAGCAGTATTTTAGGTTTCCATAGTATAAGTCTTATATTCGCTAAATTTATTACTAAGTATTTTATTTTTGTTAGTTTGTCTTGAGACAGGGTCTCACCACATAGCTCTGTCTGGCCTAGAACTTGATATGTAGTCCAAGCTGACCTTGAACTCCCAGAGACCCACCTGCCTTGGTATTTTGTTCTTTTCAGTGTGACTATACATAGGATTACTGCTTTATTTTTTGTTATTCAGGGTTAATGCATAGAAATAGAATGGAGTTCTGTACATTGATTCAGCAAATGCAGTTATTTGATGCAGGGATTCTTTAGTTTTTGTTTTTTGAGACAGTTTCTCGGTCTCTGGCTAGCTGTCCTAGAACTCGCTCTGTAGACCAGGCTGGCCTTGAACTCATAGAGCTCCACCTGCCTCTGCCTCCTGAGTGCTGGAATTAAAGCGTGTGCGCCTGCCACCACCACCCAGCATCTATAGAGGCTTTTTTTCAGTAGTTACTCAGGCTTTACTGTATGTGAAGTTATGCCATTTGTGAATGCACATCATTCACCTTTTTCCTTTCCAGTTTAAATTCCTTTTATTTCTTTTCGTACTCAGTTGCTCTAGCTAATATGTGGAATGCAGTTAAACAGAGCCAGTAGAATGAACATCTTTATCCTATTTCTGATCCCCACCCCCACCCAAAAGAAAAGATCTCTCTGTAACAGTCATTATCTGTCCTGGAACTCATTGTGTAGACCAGGCTGGCCTCAAACTCACAGAGATCCACCTGCCGTTGCCTCCTGGGTGCTGGGATTAAAGGTGTGTGCCACCACTGCCCAGCTCTTATTTCTAATCTTAAGAGGAAAGCTTTTAGTCTCTCCTTGTTGGATGTGACATTAGCTTTAGGTTTTTCACAGATACCTGTGTCAAGTTGAGGAAATGCCATTCTGTTTCTAGTTTATTGACTCATTCTTCTCATGTGAGGGTATAAATTTTGTCAAATACCTATTCTGCATCAATTCATGTGATCATGTGGTTTTGTTTTTGTGCCATTGTTAAGTGTATGAATTAGTTTTGGGGTGTTAAACCTCCTAAGATAAATTACACTTGGTTTACATACATTTTTCTCCCCTTAAAAAAGAGGAAGAACTGAGTGGTGGTGTTGCACACCATTAGTCCCAGCACTCCAGAGGCAGGCGGATCTCTGTGAGTTCGAGGCCAGCCTGGTCTACAGATCAAGTTCCAGGACAGGCCCCAAAAGCTACAGAGAAACCCTGTCTTGACAAAAGAACGTGCTTACAAAAATGTAAATACAAAAGCCAGAAAAAAGTGTTAGTACCTTGGAGTTGTTTGCAAAACATCCAGCATGTTACATGGGTGCTAAGACCCAAACTTCCATCCTTAAGATTGCTCAACAAACATTTGTAACCACTGAGCTATCTCTCTAGACCCTCCCTTTTCTTTAGATAAGCTCTTATAATTTAGCCCTGGCTAGCCTGGAACTTGCTATGTCAACCAAGTTGGCATCAAACTTGCAGTGGTCCTCCTGTCTCTGCCTCTTGAGTACTGGGTTTTTATGCATGTCCCGGCCATTCTTTGTACTTGCTATTTTTGACTGCTAGTACCTTGGTTTCTCTGAGTTTTTCTTGATTGTTTTGTGTTGTCAGTTATATGCAGATGCTCACTGTGGAGGCAGGAGCAGGAATGAGCCTCACAGTAAGTACTGCCAGGCAGCACTGAGCAGGCTTTTGTTTTACTTTCAGTTCGAGGAGTTATAACCACTCACAGGATTCTAATTTGGTTCTCGGGGGCCGCACAGGAAATGAGGACATTCTTTCTAGGCTACAGGTGAGTTAGAAGACAATAGGGTTCAGTGTGTTTGCCGTAGCAAACCTATCCTTGGCCAAGGTATTTATGACCAATTTGCATAATGGTGACTGACTCAACAGGACAGAGTAGGAACTTGCATTGTCCACAACATGGCTAAGATCTAGAGCAACAGCGTACTCTGAATTTATTCCACAGGTGAGCATCACAAAACCTAGGCACACAACTGTGGTGCCACATCTGTCTCCAGGCTTTGGAACGTATAAACTTTACAGCAAAGCTGCTGTTGCTGCACAGCCTTCTGCTTCTGTGTGACTGCTGACTCAGCTGTACTGCAGGCTCTGGGAAGTGATCTTAACAAGCTCCCATTTAGCATAGGAAAAGAGCATGTGGAATCTTTATGGGGTCCCAGGATGAATGGGAGAATGCAGTGGTGTTGTGCTGATATTCCACAGTGTGTCTCGCAGCTCTAATCTTCTAAGGTAGCCTATTTCCAAATCCTGCATGCCGACTGACCTTGGGAGCTGTCTTAGTGAGGGTTGCTATTGCTATGAAGGAACACTACAACCATGGCAACTCTTATAAAAGAAAACATTTAATTAGGGCTGGCTTACAGTTCAGAGGTTTAGTCCATTATCATCATGGTAGGACATGGCGGCATGCAGGCAGACATGGTGCTGGAGAAGGAGCTGAGAGTCCTACATCTTTATCTGAAGGCAACAGGAAATGAACTGAGACACAGGGCTTATCTTGAGCATAGGAGAGAAACCTCAAAACCTGCTCCCAAAGTGACACACTTCCTCCAACAAGGCCACACCTCCTAATAGTGCCACTCCCTATGAACTTATAGGGACCAATTACATTCAATACCACAGAAGCACACATGGCATTCTTCTGTCCTATGGCACAATAACTGAGAAAAATAAAGGAACAAAGATTTGCCTCTTGATTTCAGTTTCTTGCCCTCATTGCCATGGTTCTGTGGCAAATCAGCACATCACACCAGGGAGAGTGTGGTAGACCAAAGCTGTTTACCTTACAGCATCCAAGTAGAGAGCAAGTGCCTGGGGACAAGGTAGATCCTTCAGTAGGTCCCTAGTGACCTAGTTCCTCTAACCAGGCCCTACCTTTTACATGCTCTATCACTTCAAGTAGTCCATTTAGGTATGTCTCCAACAATACATGGGCTCAGAGCCCTCATGAGCCGCTCGCTTCTGAACACTGGTGCTTTGGAGGGGTGGATCAGGTTAAGCTTTCAGCACCTGGCCTCTAGAGGATATTTCAGATCCAAACAGTGTTGCTGATGGGAGTGCTCAGAGAGGCCAGAGCCTGGCCTCTACAGCCCCTTTAAGATATGGATGCTGAGGATGCAGGATGAAACCATGATGAATGACAAAGATACACCAAAACCAACTCTGGCTTAGGCTTTCTGTTGTTTGTTGACAACTTGGCTCCCAAATTAGACCGAGGAAATCAGTCCTATTCCTGAACTTGCCATCTTGTTTTTAAAAGATTAATATACAAGATCCAATATAAGCCCAAAGTGGAGCTCACATTTATTTGGTACACTTTTATTTGAACACTTTGGTATTTAAAAAACTCACATTTATTCTCTTGAAAAATGTTTAAAAATGTATTTGGGGGACTGGAGAGATGGCTCAGAGGTTAAGATCACTGGCTGCTCTTCCAGAGGACCCGGGTTCAATTCCCAGCACCCACATGGCAGCTCATAACTGTCTGTAATTCTGGTTTCAGGGGATCTGACACATTCATACCAATGCAAATAAAATAAAGTTAAATAAATTATTTAAAATAATGTATTTGAAAGTGTTCCAAAATATAGGGACCTCAGGAGCTGTGGCAGCAAAATGCTGGCCTGACACTAACCTAGACTCTACATTGGGGGCAGACAGAAGTATATCTGTACTATGCTAATGGGGTAGTAATGAACCATGAGAGTCTGACTCCAGCCTTAAAGAAGGCATACAAAGAGCCTGGGACAGCAAAAAAAAAAATCACCTTCAGCTTATTCCTGTGTGTGTCTACCTGTCTACATAGCAGAGAGTAACAAAAGAGCCGAGTGTCAGCCACACCAGGTGAAGTGTGATAGGTATTTCTTGTACTCTCTTATTTTTGCAATTTCAAACTTGTTTTGTTTCTGTGGTACTTGGGGCTTGAACGTAGAGCCTTGTACATCCTAGGCAAGTGCTCTCACCCAGGCAGGCCCCCTGAACGTGCAGTTTTCTTGCCTTAGTCTCCCAGTAGTTGAGCTGCTGCACCTGCCTAAAAGTGGTTTTCACAGGGGAAAGCTTATGTTTTTGTCCCTGCTCACTCCCCATCCTGTGGTAGCTCATCTCTCGAGTCCCCAGCTAAGGTCCACAGTGAGCCCTGGAGAACTTTTCTACCCTGACTCATGTTTGGGGACAGCTCAGAGTTAGAAGATGAAAGTGTGTTTGGGTCTGCTCTTTTCCAGGAGATGGCAGCTGACCTGGAGCTGGATCAAGTCTCTTCTGTCTCCTCTGGTTGTTCAACTTCTCAGAGTCACATTCTCTTCCGGGTATTCAACAGACGGCTCCAAGCTCTGGCAAGTGGAGACAGCATGGCTAATCGTCTTAGGAGACAGCGAGAGCTGCTCATATGCAAACGGTAATAGACATCACAATGTCTCTCATGCCAGTGTCTGTCTTTAGCTTTCACTACTAATTGCTTCTATTATGTCTACCCCAAGCTTGGGAAGGGTATGAGCATCTTGGTGACTCCCATAGGAACAGGTGTGACCGTGCAAAAGGTGCTTTGGATCCAAGTCTTTATACTCAGACTCAAGAGTTCCTCTGCTGAAAGATGTGCTATGAAGAATACTTTGTTGTTGTTTTAAGAACACATTTTTAAGTGCGTTTTTTCATAATAGAATCCTCCAGTTAAGGATTGCCTTCTTATAGACAGGGGTGCATCCATCTACATGGTTTTTAGAATTTTACTTACTTATATTTTTTGAAGCATATTTGGGGAATCTACAATGAGTAAGTAGGACTTAAAAGCTGGGGGCAAAGACAGCTTTGTATGTAGAACACAAAAGCCCAAGGCAAGGACAATGGGAACTGGAAACCAGACTGTGTCTCAAGTAGCATTGCTCAATCTGCAAAGTATTGTGCAACAAAGTCTGAGCCAGGGAAAGGACACCCTGTTTCTTTGTTGTCTGTCTTTACCATGATGTACCTCCTTCTTCCCAAGGCTTTTCCTCCGCCTGCCTCCATCTGTTCTTATGGGCAGCCCCCAGACCAGACAGCCTGTCTCCCCCAACTGTGAGGAGTTCTTTAACCTGGTCAACTCTGAGTTGGTATGTGCAAATGCACTGGGCTGGCCTTTCTACCTCTGTGTTGGTTTTATGCTGACTTTGAACTGTTTTACAGAGAAACTTCTGTTGCCATGGCAGTGTCCTGACCCATGATATTACCATGCACTTCTTCAGGGTAATCCATTACCTCCTATGTAACTCTCTTTGGTTGCCTAGGTGGTACCCTTCAGGGCCAGGGTTCCCGTGGGCACCTGGGTTGGCAAACTGCTAAGCTTCAATGTATTCCTGCTACAGGGGCTCCTTAATGTGTGTTTTCGAAGTCAAGACCCAGCATTGGTGGCCAACCTGACCCTGACAGAGTGCCAGACCAAATGTCCCATGATTTTGACCTCAGCACTGGTAGGTCTGGTGTGTATGGTTTTTAAATTTACATTTATTTATCTCGTTCTTCCACACCAATCAATCTGTGTGTATACACAGTGGTCAAAGAACAACTTCCAAGAGCCAGGTCTTTCTTTCCAACGTATGGGACCTAGGATTTAACTAAGGTCATTAAGACATCTTTTTTTTTTTTTTTTTTTTTTTGGTTTTTCGAGACAGGGTTTCTCTGTATTGTTTTGGAGGCTGTCCTGGAACTCACTCTGTAGACCAGTCTGGCCTCAAATTCACAGAGATCCGCCTGCCTCTGCCTCCTGAGTGCTGGGACTATTAATCTTACAGTTCCTTGTTTTGATATTTTTCCAACAGTCGTGATTTCCAGGGTTCGATGTCCCTCCCTGGTTGTTAGGATTCACAAGATGTTTAAAGAGAAATAAAGTAGCCAGAGGGGCTGGAGCAATGACTCAGCAGTAAAAGCATTGTCTACTCTTCCAGAGGACCCAGGCTTGATTCCCAGCACCCGCATGGTGGCTCACCATTCATACACCAGGGGATCTAACACTTTCTGACCTCTACAGGCATGAAGCTTGTGTTCATGTGTGATACATATATACACATGCAGGCAAAACGCTCATACATGGAAAAGTATATTTTAGAAATAAGGGTGGAGCACACTGCCTCACAGGAGAGGCCATTGCCAGTTCTTCAGTGCTGCCACCACCCACTCTACTGTATCCTCACAGACACTGGATGTTCCATGCTGGCTGCCAGCCATCCCAAAGCACAACTGACATCTGCAGATGTTAATGACTGATGCCAAAAGAAGCTATTGAGGCTTCCCAGGTCCCCTGGTGCCTCCATCTGGTTAATTATTCTAATCAGAGGGACAATGGACAGGTCAAGCAATGGCCAGCTTTATTTCAATTTGTAGCTCATTAGGTAGAGTTTACAGTAGCTCTCAGCATGGCATTATCTAAGAAGCAGGCCAACCAGCTCAATGCCAACATTACAGGGTATTTCTTCATACAGTGCTCTCTCCCTTCAAACCTTGTCCCTGAGAATTAGAATGCCTCATGAACCATGTATGATAGCCCATGCCTTTAATCCCAGTACTTGGGGAGGCAGAGGCAGGCAGATTTCTTGAGTTCCAGGCCAGCCAGGGCTACACAGAGAAACCCTGTCTAAAAAAAAAAAAAAAAAAGTTACACGGCAGAGCCGGGCGTTGGTGGCGCACGCCTTTAATCCCAGCACTCGGGAGGCAGAGGCAGGCGGATCTCTGTGAGTTCGAGGCCAGCCTGATCTACAGAGTGAGTTCCAGAACAGCCTCCTAAACAATACATAGAAACCCTGTCTCGAAAAAAAAAAAAAAGTTACACGGCAGTACAACATGAACTGTGTAGTTGTGTAGAGCTCTCAGGAGTTCCTAGCTGACTGACAATTGGCTGTCTGGATGTTGGCAGCATATCTCTCATAGCTGTCCAAAGACAACTTCTGTAATCTGTTTCTTGGTTATCTTTACTTCCCACAGTTGTGGTGGTCCAGGCTAGAGCCAGTACTTTGCAGTCGGTGGAAGAAATGTCATCAGAGCGCACTGCCTCGTGAACTGCAGAGGCTGCAGGAGGCCCAGGAGTTTGCCAGCAAGTAAGCTGAAGCAGTGTCAAGGGGGAGCCCAGCTGCTGCTTGGACAAGGCTCTGTCGTGCCACGCTGAGTACTGGGTACTGCCTCTGAGTGGAGGGAACGCAGCAGGCTGAGCTGCCTAAGGAAGCCACCCAAGTGTTCATGAGGCTGCTTTCATCAGCTCCTGCATCCTGGCCCTGGATTCTGTTCTTATGTTTATTTAGCACAGGGCGCCCCTGTGACCCAAGGCAGGCAGCACTGGGGGAATAGGATAGGGCAGGGAGCAGATTATCGGTTCTTCCCTCACCTGACAGCCCAGACGATTTCTGGCAGTACTGACTGGCCTTACCTCATGAGGACCACCAAGCACCCGCAGAATCCAGGGAGTTCTTAAGAGGGCTTCAGCAAGACAGTAATCTTTATCAAGGACTTCCCTCTGGTATCTAGTTTTGAATCCATGCTGCTTCTGTCAGGAGTACTCCAAAACCTGCTCAGTAAACAATAACGCAGGCCTTGCTACCAACTTGAACCTACAGAGGTCAGATTACTCCTTTGACTCCTACAGTGTATGATATTAGTGCATCTGCCAGACTTACCCTGCTGGAACTAAGGTTATCATGACATTAACAGTTAGACCCCATTGTGCTAGTGCAGTCACAGGCCCACATGGACAGCCAAGAAATACTGAGAGCTCCGTGGTACTATGGCCTCTTCCTTCAAAGCTCTCAGGCCCCAATATCTCACTATGAAGAGGACAGAACTAAGTCAGATCCCCCTCAGAATGTTGTATATCATCTGTACTCTGTCCCCAACCAACCAGATCCCCCCCCCCCAGTAGACAAACAATTGACACAAACTTCATTTGTAGTGACTCTTGGGCCCCCCTGCATTGTGTTTGAAAAGGAAGTCCCCTTTGTTAAACACAGAGATATTTGGTGGCTAGGGGCATGCCAATTAGGTGAATACGCTTTAAATCTCTGCAATGTTTCTTTGTGTGTGTCAGGTTCCTCTCTGATTCAGCTTCCCCAGCACCCAGCCCAGCCTGGATCTCAGCTGCTGCACTGCACTTTGCAATTAGAGAAGTTAAGAAGGAAAATGTCAAGGCACATCTGAAAAGGCTAGACTGTGAGAGGAAAGAGGTAAAACCCAGAATTTTCAATACCTTTCTTCTAATCGTTTCTTTAAGTGAGGTATGCCTAATGGCCTTTCTTTACCAAGAAAAACATTCAATTTGGAGTTGTCACAAACTGTTAGCTAAGTTTGTTTTCAATAAGCCTCTCAAATTGATTGGTAAAGTGCTTTACAATGTCTTTGGAAGTGTTTCTGTTGAGCTTGTTTTTGCCTGCACTGCAACCTAGTATAAAGTCACCAGACAGTGTCCACACCTCCCATATTTACATTGCATAACTGTGACTCTTGTTGCAACTTCTATGTGAGAGACAGTCAGGAATTAGGCACTGGGCCCAAAAGAAAGAACCTGAACTACCTAGTACCCTTTAATCAGTACTTACATGACCTTTAAGAAACTTGGGGCATGTGTAGGCCAAGATTTTGGGGGATACAAGAAAACAGGAACCAGCAACTGAGGAGAAAGCTGGAAAGTAAGTCATGTTGTACACCCCCTCACTCTGCTGGCATACATGCACAAACAAAATAAAATGTAGTAAAAATTGTTTTAAATGGCCCTATAAGCCATAATTTATTCTGACATAAGCTCCTAAATGATAGAAAGCCTGGAACTGGGGGTTTATACTAGCAATCACAGCTCCTTGGAAGGCTGAGACAAGAAGATTGTTGGAATGACTTTGAGGCTATCCTGGACTACACAGTCCAAAAAAAAAAAAAAAAAGTGACTTAGAATTTTTTCCCCCTCCCAAGATCCACTTGAAGGTCTTGAGCTCTAGGCTAGAGTGTCAGTGTGTGACTTTGTGGTAATTGTTTCCCTCCTAGCTACTCATCTCCCTCCTCTTCTTTTCCTTGATGAACCTACTCTCATCCTACCTGACCCAACAGGTAAGTCAGACTTTTAGCAAAGGAGGCATTTTCCCCTAACCCTGGGTGGGGCAGGAGCACTAGATAATAAGTTCCAGGCCCACTCAGACTTCAGTTCATATCTCTGGGTATTTCAGGCCATTTTTTGTTTGTTTGTTTGTTTTAATTTATTTTTATTTCATGTGCATTCGTGTTTTGCCTGCATGTATGTCTATGTGAAGTTGTTGGGTCCCCTGAAACTGGAATTACAGGCAGTTATGAGCTGCCATATAGATGCTGGGAAGAGAACCCAGGTCCTCTGGAAGAGCAGCCAGTGCTCTTAACCACTGAGCCATCTCTCCCGCCCCCAGGCCCCGTTTCTTGTTTGTTCTTCCTTCTGATGTCTTGCTCCAGAGCTTTGGTATAGCAGCATGGTATGTGTGAGCATTTTCCATCTAGAAAGCCCAAGGCAATGCCTTTATTTAGATTGTGTCATCAGTTTTAGATTTTGGAGAGTAAAGAGGAACCACCCCATTTATGGTGAGGGCTGAACCCCCATCCACATAAACACAGCATCTCTTGGGAACCAGCTTTGTCCACCTGACAAAGATTAGCTCTCCACCTAATCAGCTCTCCTGAGGGTTCTTCTATGGTCACAGGACACTGCTGAATATCTGAAAGCCATGGATATCTGTGCTGAGGTCCTCATGTGCTTGGAAAGAAGGAAGGTTTCCTGGCTCGTGCTTTTCCAGTTGACAGAGACAGGTGAGAAGCCATGTGTCCCTGGAATAGTATGGGAAAGCTGGCTCTACCCAAGATGAGCAGACATAAATTGCTCTACCATGACAACTATCACTATTCAGAAGCAACTTTCAGTTAAGAACAAGCTTTGGAGTCAGGCATTGGTGGCTCACGCCTTTAATCCCAGTACTCAGGAGGCAAAGGCAGGTGGATTTCTGAGTTCGAGGCCAGCCTGGTCTACAGAGCAAGTTTCAGGACAACCTCCAAAGCAATACAGAGAAACCCTGTCTCAAAAAAAAAAGAAAAAGAAAAAGAAAAAAGCTTTGAAGTCACCTTTTATGGGTTTAACCTTACTGAGTTTATAAACCCTACTTCATTTGGAGTATAAATTCAGGACACACCCATTTAAAGCAACATAAGAGTCAACTGGGACACTCGAAGGTCCAGAATGTTGCTGCCCACAGGCACATTGTAGGGGAGCAGTGGGAGAAAGTGCTTGTTAAACCTCCAGTCTCTGGTCTCTCCTGTGTGTGAGCATATCAACCCCATTCTCCCAGACCAAGGGAGAAATGATCCTCTTTCCCAGGGGCTCTTAATAGGTATCCCAAGTGTCATACGAGAAAAACCTCCTCAGACCACATGACATCTTAGAGTCATCCCATAGCACTGACACCGAGTTCAGGAACCTAGAGAACTGACTGAACTCCTCAATTTTACAGATACCGAGCTGGGGCACCTTCTCCGCTTGGCCCCAGATCAGCACACCAGGTTGCTACCATTTGCCTTTTACAGGTAACTACCTGCTAGTCAGTGGTGAGTAAGGCCAGCCTTGTGCCTGGCATGGTCAAAGAAAAGGCATTGTTTCCCCCAAGATCTCCCTTGTCACTCTGTTCCACAAACAAGTGTACTTTCTGTGCTAACTGCTACTTACCTCTCAGTGTCACAAGGCCTTTACCGTTCCGCCTTTACCCGCAGTCTCCTCTCCTACTTCAGTGAAGATGCCATCATCAAGGAAGAGACTTTCCTGTATGTTGCTGTCGATATGTACCTCAAGCTGATGCAGCTCTTTGTAGATGGGGAAACCGGGACTGTGTTACCTCAGGCCAGCAAAAGCTTAAAGCTCCAAGGTCACTCCTTGCTGCAGGTGAGCTCCCCCGAGCCTATGAGGCAGCCGTTCCTTAGGAACAGTGAGTGACACATGCTAGTACTGATTCAGTGTGCCTGACCCATGTCTGCCTGTCTCCGTTCTAGGGTAGCCCTATACATCTGATAACAGAAGCACGTACTTTTCTGCTGCAGCTAATACCTCAGTGCCCAGAACAGTGCTTCTCCAACATGACAGAGGTAACAAACCCAGAGATATCCTCCAGCTGATTTCAAAACTTAGGTAAAATGAGAAGTCATAGGCCTGTGACACTTGAGATGGTAGTTGCACACCACAGGCCCATCATGCTGCCAGCACAACTCAAGTGTCCACTAGTTCTTGATCTGCAAGCAACTTACTCAGGCTATCCTGAGAGGCTGTGGGCACTAATCAATATATTTTCTCATAGCTGCTGGCTGGTCGAGGAGACTATGACCCTGAGATGAGCAACGTCCTCCTGCGGAGGCGGCAGGCTGACCCCAGCTTTGATCTCTACCAGGAGCCTCATCTGTTCTGACTGTACCCATCTCAGTGCACCAGCCGGCACCTTTGTGAATAATTTATTGCAAGCATTACATGGAGTTCTTGTTACACTAGAAAGTAGATTACAAATCTCCTTGATTGCTCTAGTTAGGAAAAAAATTAATTATTCATAATTTGTTTCTAGCCTTAAATTGCTCAGTGTCCATAGGAAAATAAACTGCTAGTACCACAGCAGGTTGAAGTACACACCAAGCCTACCTCCCTCACCCTGAGAGAGGTGCCCTCCAACATATGGCTGCTGGATATGTGAGGTGGAGTGCAGCATGGGGTCCAAAGAGCAAGCAGAGCTATGCCAGCAGGGAAGTGAGGAACATGAATATCTTTAAACCTCACGTCACATCTCAAGATGCCCAGTGTTCCACCTGCAGTTCTCAGGTAGGCTCAGGCTTCACAGCTTGACCCTCCATGGTCCCAGAAAGGCTCAAGGGCCCAGGTGGGGGCTCTGCTTCCAAAGGCAGGGCTCTGTCCTGGGTCTGGGTCAGAGGATGTACCATGGACATATGCACGTTGAGGTTGTGGGCCTTTTCAAACCGACGGCCGCACTGGTCACAGGCGAAGTCCAGCTCAGTTTCTGCTTTGTGTTTGGTCATGTGGTACTTGAGGGATGCTCGTTGCCTGCACTGGAACCCACAGACCTCACACCTGGGGGGCAGAGGCAGGTGAGATAAGCTGCACCTTGTCCCAAGCAGAGGAAGTGCCCAGCCCACACTTACTGCAGTGGCTTGGCTCCTGAGTGACGCATCTGGTGGACAAGAAGGTGCTTCCGCTGCTTGAAGGTCTGCCCACATTCGTCACAGATGTAATTGCGTACCTCTGCAAGACCAGAGGAGTTGTGAGCACCAGTCTCAAATATCCAAATCTGTTCCATAATGGGTAACAGTTATTGCTGCTTTATATAACAAGGGTGTGCCCAAGCAAGAACTGTTGAGAACCCAACATTATTTAAAATGAAAGACAATTCTGGTACAAAGAACTTCACTAATAAATATTTCTAATACAAAGCAGCTCATTAACAAAGATTTATAAATTCCTTAAAACAGTTACATGGCTAGGTTTTCCCCAAAGAAATTATGTGTATATTTGTCTTTTTTGTTTGTTTTTCAAGAGAGGGTAGCCTTAGCTGTCCTAGAACTTGCTCTGTAGAGCAGGTTAACCTTGAACTCACAGAGATTGATAGTGCTGGCATTAAAGGCACCCAGCACCACCACCTGGATTGTTTTTGAGATAAGATCTCATTATGTGGCCCTGGTGGCCTCCATAGAGAATTCATGGAGAAATTGTGCACTACTATGTCCAGCCTGAAACTCCTTTGGGGGCACAAACTTCTTAGAGAAGGTGCTCTCTAAAGTCGTCCCAAAGTAAAGACCTAAGCAATGGGGAGAAGGTGCTCTCTACAGTCGTCCCAAAGTAAAGACCTAAGCAATGGGGATAACATCACTGAGAGAAGTAAAATGATTCAATACACTTTGGAAACCAACTTCTTTAGCTCTTGGACAAAAACTTAACCACATCACATGCATGGTAGCACACACCTGTAATCCCAGTGCTTAACAAGGTCATCCTCTGCTGTGTATCAAAGGTGAGGCCAGCCTGAACTACATGAGACTATCTCAAAAACAAAACAAACATAACAAGGGCCATCGAGAAAGCTCAGCAGGTAAAGTTTCTTGCTGCCAAGACTGATGACCTGAATTCAATCCCAGATCTCACGTGGTAGGACAGAACTGAATTCTATAAAATCTTCTGACCTCCACATGTGTGTCACATACACAAGTACTTTTCTCTTTTTCAACATACCAGTACTATGCACTTTTAAGCTGGACTACTTAAGAGTCTATAATGTTTCACCTCTTTAGAAACCTGCTGCTGTGTCCACTAGTGACTGGCTAGATAGCTTGGAGATCTAGACCAAAGAAGTTACCCTATCAGGAGACATATGCCCAAATGCTTACCAAGAAGTACAGATTAGAAAATTGATATACAGCAAGTATATAATCCAACAATAAGATACACAAATGCTGATATAAAACAGATTTTTGTCATTTGTAAACCTCAGAAATATGTAACAAATCTACCTCCAAGAATGCCAGAAATGAGTTTTTTCTACATTTTTAAATTTGGGGGTGGTGTGCACATGCCATAGCAAGTGTATGGAGGTCAGAAGGCAGGTTGCAAGAGTCAGTTCTTTCACCGTATTGGGTCCTAGAGAAATAAACTCCAGTCAGTTCTAGTTTTTGTTTGGTTTGGGGTTTTTTGTTGTTTTTGAGACAGTGTCTCATGTAGCCCAGGCTAGCTTAGAACTCCCTATGCCTACCTCTGCCTCCCCCCAGGTGCTGGTATTAAAGGTGTGCAACATCACCACCTGATACTCCAGCGTTAATTTTTAAAGGTAAATTCACAAAAGAGTACTAATTCTGGGCTATGAGTCACAGGGGGAGAGGGAGCTCACGACACCTGCCTCCATCAGGAATTCAACAGACAGGACTAAATTTATATATGGATTCAGAACACCATGTGATAAAGAAGCACCTGATACCAAGCTTGTGAGCCACTGGGACACGACCTACTTCTAGGGGGTACGGCCCTCTGACTGGGCACCTGGGATCCACTGACAGCCAAACCCAGGCTCACAAGGCACAGCCTGAGGCAGGTACCTGTGTGGATGAGCTTCACATGGCGCTGCAGGTATCGGTCGATCATGAATACCTTGTTGCAGCCAGGATGTGGGCAGGGCCTCTCCCGGACCTCCTCGTGGTGCTCCTTAATGTGCTTCTACAGGAAGAAAGGACAAGAGACCCTAGTGTTTAATGTGGGCACATCCAACCTCCCAGGAGAGCCTGTGTAGTGGTCTCAGCACTTGACAGCTGACTACTGGAAAGAGACAGCTACTTCCTACCCTATACCACTGGCTCCTTTAAGCAGGTGTCTTAGAGCAAAGGACTGACTCCACATCCACTAGGGTCACGACGTGAGCCCTTGGGAAGTTTGCACTTGGCTCTGCACAAGTTTCATGTTAACACCCACAACAACTCAGTCAAGCACACCCAGACCCAACAGCAGCCCTTCCCAAAGGTGATGCCCATTTCTTACCTTCATGCCATCAGCCCCACGGTATACAGCTGTGCAGCCCTGGTAAGGACACTTATAGATGGTGGGCAGCTCCTCCCTGTAAGGCAAAGCACATGTGGAGGTGCTGACCCAATATGCAAATTCCCCACACTGCAGCCTGCTTACCTCTCGCTTCGGAGCTTTTTCTTCCATCCAGGCTTGGGCCCAGGCTTCTTTCTGATTTTGGGCTCTTCAGGCTTCTTGGCGTCTTTGCTTTCGCTCTTCTTGCCAGAGACCCTACAAGGGGTAAAGAAAACAATCTAGCCAGGCGTTGGTGGCGCATGCCTTTAATCCCAGCACTAGAGGAGGCACAGGCAGGCAGAGCTCTGAGTTTGAAGCCAGCCTGGTCTACAGAGTTCCAGGACAGACTTCAAAGCCACAGAAAAACCAAAAAAAAAAAGAACAATCTAGTGATGCTTATCTCTACCTGCAAATGATTCTCGTCTCTTCCTGCATGTGCAGTTTTCTTCAAGCTTTCCTGACTCAGCTGCCTCTGTGTAGACTAGGGACTCATCTACCATTAGCCACCACAATCAGTACAACTCTGAAAGGGTTAGAAGTCTGAAGCAGTTACCTTGTGAGGGTATGCAGAACACATGGTAGCATGGAGCACACATACTTATCACATATATGAAATTTCAGAATTAAAGTCCTATGTGCTAAGAACCCAAATCAAGGGATGGAGATATGGAAAATGGTAGAGAATTCAGTCAGTCATATTGCCAGATGATCTCATGCTAGAAAGGGGCTCAGCATTACTGTTGCACTTGAGATTCTCAGGCACCTAGTAGCCTGGGGCATACCTTCAGTCCCAAATGTAGTTATATTTCATACACTAACAACAAATAGTTCCAAAAGGAAACTAAGGAAACAATTCACGTTCAATAGCATCAAAGGCTAGGCAGGGTGGCTGTGGTATACGCCTTAAATCTCAGTACTTGGGAGGAAGAGGCAGGTGGATCTCTGTGGGTTCCAGGCCAGGCTGACCTACAGAATGAGTTCCAGGACAGTCTGGGATCTACAGAGAAACCCTACCCCCAGAACACCAACAAGAATAATAGGCCAGCATGATGGTGCCTACCTGACATGTCAACCGCTCAGGATGACACAAGTACTGCTTGAGCCTGAAAGTTTGAGTATAGAGTCCTGGCAACACACCAAGACCTCACCTCAAAACAAACAAACATTGAAAAGCTCAGCGCCGGGCGTTGGTGGCGCACGCCTTTAATCCCAGCACTCGGGAGGCAGAGGCAGGCGGATCTCTGTGAGTTCGAGACCAGCCTGGACTACCAAGCGAGTTCCAGGACAGCCTCCAAAGCCACAGAGAAACCCTGTCTCAAAAAAAAACCAAAAAAAAAAAAAAAAAAAAGAAAAGCTCAGCAATTTCTGTGCGGGAAATATAGCTTGATATGCACAAGGTTCTAGATTTAATTCATTCTCAAATGTATTTTTAAATTTATTCTTATTTTACGTGTACAGGTATTTTGCCTGCATGTATGTCTGTGCCCTACACTGCCTGTGGCGGCCAGAAGGGGGCATCAGATCCTCTGGAACTAGAATTTCAGACTTGCTGGCTGCCATGTGGGTGCTGGGAAGCAAAACAAAAGCAACAAGTACACATGACTGTTGAGCAACCTCTCCAGACCCAAAATATGTTCTTTAATCAATAGCAGAAGCCAAACCAGGCCATACAGGCCAGAAATGCCAGTCAATGAAGGGGCTGAGGCAAGACGATCACAAAGAAAAGGCTAACCTAAGCAACTTAGTGAGACTATTTAAAAATACAAAAAAGTAGGCTGGGTACGGTGGCACCAACCTTTAATCCCAGCACTCAGGAGGCAGAGGCAGGTGGATCTCTGAGTTTGAGGCCAGCCTGGTCTATAAAATGAGTTCCAGGACAACCAGGGCTACATGGAAAAACCAAATTAAATATACAAATAAATACAAAGGTTTAAAAAGAAAAAAAAGTGTGGTGAAACAGTTCAGTAGAGCACTTAATTTGTGCAAAGCACTTGGTCTAATACCTCATATCTCAAATAAAAATCAATACACAAACCCCAGTT